AGTTGGTTTTCATTGGTTGAGTCTTTTGCGCTACTTAAGGTCAACTTTCGGAGGCTTTTGGAGCGTTTCCAGAAATGTTTCTTTCTTGTTCTTCAGTCAGAACGATAGGCAAAACTGCAGTGAATATTGCAGCCTTTACCGACTCACAGCTATCAGTTGGAAGTTTTATCTAGAAATTTGGAGAATTGTTTGATATCAAATCAAGCTCAGTTTAAAATCACGTTGATTTTTGTTATCAACAAAAACAATGAAAGAAATCACTTAAAAAGAAACACTTTTGAGAAGTGATTCGACGAGCTTGCTTGCCAATACTAGTATTTTACTTGCCTCTTATTTGTTTCTTTAAAAAGTTTTGGGTGTTGAAGTTCTGATCTGTTCATTCATTTAGAGCTTCTCTTTATGTTCATTTTGCTTTAAGTTGGCACTATCATTGGGTTTGAATTATCAACTTTGACGTTTTTTTAAAAAAACTGCAGCGCAAAAGAAAATTCAGGTTGTGCACTCTTTTGAACGTCAATTTTTTGAAATCCCGCTAATAAAAAAATCTTTTCCTAAACTTTCGAGCAAAACTATTCAACTAGAACTCTGACTGAAACATATTTCAGCCAACAAGTAAATCATTTTTTTATATTAGAGAAGTATGTATAACTAGCAGAATGAGTTCTCAACCTTAATATTTTTTGAGTCATGCCTCACTATCTAAATTAACTTACCTTAGTAGCAGTGAGACTCGATTGAAACTATATTTCATTTTTTGTCACAACTACCTCAAGACATTTCTAAAATTTCAAGTGTGTTGGATTATTGTTCCTGGTGTTCCTAGTAATTTATTATGAAGATTAACAAAATTTAGCCATCGATTTCTGAATGGGAAGGTGTGGTTTCTAGAAAACTATTCCTTCTGCTAGTTCAATGGTTAATTTTAATAAGCTAATAATCAGGGCTTTCAAATCACAAAACTGTGGTTTTCCATTTATCCGATTGATCAGCAAAGTTTATTTTTTTGAATGGGTTAATTGGGATTGGTTAACCGAGTCGTTTCTTTTTTTTCCATCGGATCTCTATTTTTCTGAGGGAGTGGCTCATCTGCGTAATCTTTTCATTGATTACCCAATTTCCGGCTCTAATTTTTAAATTAGTTGATTTTCATTGTTTGGGTCTTTTGCGCTACTTAATGTCAACTTTCGGAGACTTTTGGAGCGTTTCTTGAAATATTTCTTTCTTGTTCTTCAGTCAGAACGATAGGCAATACTGCAGTGAATACTGCAGCATTTACCGACTCACAGCTATCAGTTGGAAGTTTTATCTAGAAATTTGGAGAGTTTTTTGACATCAAATCAAGCTCAGTTTGAACTCACGCTGATTTTTGTTATCATATCAACAAAAACAATGGAAGTAATCAAGAAACACTTATGAGAAATGATTCGACGAGCTTGCTTGCAAATACTAGTATTTTCCTTGCCTCTTATTTGTTTCTTTCAAAAATGTTGTAGTTGATGTCTTCACCTGTTCATTCAATTAGAGCTTCTTTTTATTTGCTTTAAAATGGCACTGTCATCGGGTTTGAAATATCAAGCTTGACGTTTTTTTAAAAAAAACTGCAGCGCAAAAGAAAAAATTCAGGTTGTGCACCCTTTTGAACGTCATTTTTTTGAAAAACCCCAAATAAAAAATATTTTCCTCAAGTTTCGAGCAAAACTATTCAACTCGAACTTTGACTGGATCATATTTCAGCCAACGAGTAAGTCATTTTTCCTATATTAGAGGAGTAAGTATAACTAGGAGAATGAGTTTTTAACCTTAACATTTTTCTGAGTCATGCCTCACTAACCAAATTGACTTACCTTAGTAGCAGTGAGACTCGATTGAAATTTTCTTTCATTTTTTGTCACAACTACCTCAAGACAGTTGTAAAATTTCAAGTGTGTTGGATTATTGTTCCGACTTTTGATAGGAAAGTAACGGAATATATGTGCTCGGAGTCGTTTCTTTTTTATTTAGACAAATTTCGACTTTTTAACTAGCCATTTTGACGGAATTTTTTCATATCATTCGAAAACTTTTGTTGTCCTGAGCTTAAATTTGAAAAAATATTTTACTTGTGATCTTTTTTCGTAAAGTTAATGGGAATTAAAGATTGCCATTTTGACCAATTTAAGACAATTAACGCGCGGTCTAATTCGCGCTATTAACACGTAAGCGGAGATTTAATCCTTCTTAGAAATCGTTCCAAATTGGCTGAAAGAAGCTTGTTTGCCATAATTGATTTGTTACAAGGAGCTAAATCTATTGTTTTGTACTTTATATGGCGTGTGGGCGGATGATTTTCATAGAAAAATTTTCAAATTTTAGAAATTTTTTTTTTTATTTTATTTTATTTAATTTAATTTTTTTATGTTGTTTATATTATTACTGCTCCATAAACGTTAAAAAGCAGTCGGACATTTTAGGGCTTCGGCCCAACACGAGAAGTTTTGTTGTATTTATCATTCTTTCATAGTAATTTGGCGCACATTTTTTTTTAATAAGGGAGCTAAGCACAAGAAATGTTTCGAAAATTACGCTTCAGCTGTGTGTGATAAAATGAACAAATTTCATTCCGCAACTAATTACTTTATCTCAAGCTCAATTGTCGATCGAATTTGGGTGTTGGTTCTGGAGAACTTTGGATAATTCGCGCCAACTGTTTTTTATCGTATGAAGTAAAAATCTTCTTTTATACAATTCTATGTTATATCGGCACCGTCGTTTGTTTCAAAATTATAGGAGCAAAATTGTTTGATTCTTTTGCAATTCGACGTTATATCAAATTAACTGCACAGAGTGTTAGATTTTCAGGTTGCTAACATGTTTTGTGCGGCGAGTTTTCAGGACTCTCAAAATCAAAAATCATTTTCTTAATTGTCAAAAAAGAACTCGAACTATGATTGCAGCATATTTCAGTCACCGAGTACTTCAAAATTTAAAAATAAGGTAGACAAAATCTGGAGAAAAAACCAAACCCAATCTAGAGTTCTTTTCAATTATTCAAGTGGTCGTGGGAAGAAGTAAAAGGATTGATTAAGTTTTTTCCCTCTCACTATTTCCCTCTCAAAAGTTTGACCATAGAGCTTCGTTTTAGCTCTTTGATAGCATACAACAAAAAACTGTAGGAAATTGATTAAAATCAATTCATTGTAGTTTGTGAACTGATATTCTATTTAATTTCAAAAATTGCAAATAATCAAATCGGTAAATGTATTTTTGTTTCCATTTTTTTTCTCGTCAAGCTCAAAAATCCTCATTATCCTGATGAAAACCAATCTAGGTAAAATTCTTCCAGCTAAATGTTTCCATCTATTTTCATTTTTTTCTCCAGACACACGTCAACTTTTTATCTAGCTTGTTTTAACAAAATTTTCAAAATGTCATCCAAACAGTTATCTTGTCTGGAGCTCAAATTTAAAATGTAATTTTACCAGTGATTCTTTTTTGTGATGTTATGGTGGTTAAAAGATTGCCAATGTAGGACAACTAACGCGCTATATATTTCGTGCTAAACATGCGTGTGCGGTATCCTAATCCTTTTTAGAAATCGTTCCAAAAAGAAGTGAGGCGAGCTATTTGGTCTTTTTATTATTCGCCATAAGCAGAATATATCACTTTGCACTTTAAATAGCTTGTGGCTGGATGATTTTCAGAACAAAAACTAAAAAAGTTACCTTGTTTTCCTTTTTTTTGTACAAAATTCAACGTCACGCATTTTATAAAAATAAACCCTAAACTATATACCTTTAAATGCAGTCGGAACATTCAAAGCTTTGCGCTGATACGAAGAGTTTTGTTTAAAATACGAAAAAAAATCAGTTGAGAGCTCTCACAGTTGAGGAATCATCTCGTCGATAATCTAGTACAGTTTTGACAATGCTATAAAATAGAGGTTGTATGATTTGCCGATTGATACGAATATGCATGCATTTGTAGCTCATTTAGATTTTTGATTTCAAAATTTTTGAAATTTGAAGAAAAATAGTAATACAAATATCATATTTGAACAAAGATAGCCGGTTACTGTGCAAGTAGGACAGAATGTTCCGACCATAATCTTAAAAAATATGTTCAGAATATAATCTCAAAAAAAGTTTTTCTGAAACTTAGTTATATTCGACGGCTACAAAAAAATAGACCAAGCGAAAAAAGTTTTTCAAGAAAAGTTAATCGAAAAATTTCAAAAAGATATTTCTCAACACGTTTGAGTCTTGACTGAAACGGTTTCAAAATGACATATTACTCGACACTTTCCGATGATTATTTGCAGTACTTGATTTTGCGAGAAAAAAAAATAAAAGCGAAAAAGAAAAAAATGAAACTCACCCGAGTACATAGTTCTTCCCCATTTTCAATGGTCGGAACAAAAATGCTAGTCACACAGTTCTCATTTGTGGTCATAGAGTTTCACTTTGGAAAATGCTAATCATACAGTTCGATAGTATGGAACAAACGCTAGAATAGATTACTTTTTGTAATCTTATGAACTGTTGTATAAGAAATTGTATGGGAATTGTATGACTAGCTTTTTTGTCAACTCGGGGAGTTACGAATACAGTTTCGTTCGTTGGCAGTTCTTCTTGATCCAATTATCAGCAGTTTTATATGGTACCTATGATGTTACTCATTAAGGAAACTATTGATTCAATCACAGTTTTTTGGAAGTATATGCAGTGAAGACGACTACGAACTTCTTAAAAAAATTATAATATAAGTGAAGTCTTCATAAAGGCAAATTTCGTTCTCGACCGTTAATCCGTTTTAAATTGTTTCTTTTGAATCTGACGTCAATTAAAACCGAGTAGTAAGAAGACATAGTGGCCCCCGTGGTGCAAAAAAGATTTAAAAACTACTCCAAAAACAAGTCCGTCTAGCATGAGCTTAACAAAAACTTAGCTGATTGACGTTTGAGGACTTTGTGCAAACCTCTCTAACGATAGAAGTATTATTTGGTTAATTGTTCTGCTTTTTAGCTCACTAATACATTGTGCAGAAAATGACTTGAAAGGCAAATTTTTACCTGAAGAAAGAAAAGAAACTGCGTTTTAAATCTGTACACTCAAATAGACGGCCATTGTATATACTCACTCGACAATGGGGGACGCCTCAATAGAGCAAAGAAACTCGCCTGTTTCATACGCATCCCAGAAATCTCTAACGTTAACCAACACTGGTAATAACAACAACACGACTAAATACGACTCTTTATTACCAAATCACCCCAGGATTTCCCAGTTCACACCGCCTACTAATGCGACTTCAACCGGCCGTTCATTCGGCGGACACTTCAAGTCGGGTCTCTTACGACTCTTCCCGAACAGTTCCGATAGACATCGAAATACGAGTGTTTTCCAGCAAACACAACAGGCTCAGAAACTGAGGGAACAAGAGCGGCAAATGAGGGGTTTCGGAAAAGCGAAGTCAACTGTTGAAATTAATACACCATCACCAGGAGTTTCAGAGATACAGGCACCCAATGGTCCACACTCTCCGCCTGTTATAGGTACTAATCATCATTCGAGTGCTTCGGAGCCAGTACCTTTCACCGCTTCAAGTCCTGCGCAAAGTAATTTTTCACCGGAACTGGGATCTAGAAGTGACATTTTGAGACCAATTCCTCAACGAAGTTACGTCAGTGGTCAATCCTCGACTCCCTCTCCAAACTCAAAGATTGGCGGCATGTTAAATCGAGATGACCCGAACACGTCGCCAAGTAGCACTATAAGCTCTACTGTCAAAACATCGAAAGAACTTATTTCGCAAGCGTCGGCAAAGACAGATGTCTTAGATACCAACAGTCAAAGCGGATCGACCGAAGCATCCGCGCCACCGGTACGAATGCGTAATAAACCACTTACCCGGCCGCATTTTAGGGCGCGGCCTCAGAGTTTGATCGAGAACCCGACTTTTAAACATACATTTATTGAAAACGCTGAAAATAACTTTGGCGGTCTTGGCCGAACAAGTTCACTCGTTCCGCAATCGTACAAAAAAGCAACTGGCGTTCAGAGACCTCTGAAAGGATCGCCTGAAGTTGATGTCTCGAAACCTTATGCTCCGTTGCCTAATAGAGCAACCAATAGCAGACTTATAAATGCCATTAACCGAAGGAATCGTCATTCGGCTCAACCAGATTTTAACAGAACGGCGAGTCTAGACGAACTGAATCCGAACGGGAACCAAAAACAAAACACGACCAAAAGTACTCCAGAAACCTCGAGCCCTCAAAATTTATCACAAAAAGTTATTTATGACCATATTACGAAACAGTATTACTCGCCAGCCGACGCATATAAGCATGGTATTATTGACATGAACACGTTTAACCGATGCAGAACAAAAAGACGCTTTCTATTTCCAAGGTCAAGTTCGATCACTTCTGTAGCCTCAAATGGAAGTTGCGATGAGTCGAACACCGGATCACAGACAAATTTCGTTCGCAAAATTGGAATCCACGACCAGCGATCGAACGAAATTCTAAATTTAGACCAAGCTTATTCCCGCGGTATTTTAGATGAGACTCGTTATAACACACTCAAAAACCAAGAAATGGACCAATCCTTCTCAACAGGACGTCGAACTCGTTCCGCAACTGCGCTTAATTTTATAGCGAGCCAAGCCCCCCAAGCTCCAAAAACAAGCCCGAATCTCCGATCTTTCCTCAGTGGGTCTCCACTATCGCCACCAAAAACACCAATCGGTCAAAGTGTTGTTCCGAAGTATCCTCAGCGAAAAATTTCAGCTGGAAGTAATGTTTCACGAGAGATTAATAATACTCGGAATCAAAATCAGTGGAACATTTCGAATCGTTCTTATTCGTTTAACAGTATAAAATCTAACGAATCGGATAATTCTAATGATTTGCCGGAGAAATGTCTCACTAAAAACCCTAAAACAAACAACATGGGCTTCTCAGAAACTGCCAAAAATCAGGAAAAAGTTGACCAAAATGAGAAAACGTCTGAACAGGTTGATAATGAAAGAGGCGCGAATGAGTGCCAAAGTGTGAACGAAAATAAGACAGTTGTAAATGTTTCACGCGTTAAAATTCAACTAAAAACGGAAGAAGGAGAAGTCGAAATGGATCTCAAGGACGCATTGGAAAGAAGTCTGATTTCGCAGACCGAGTATGACAAAGTCATTCAAACTTTGCAATCCACGCAGAATAAATATAAATTATTACCGAGGGAAATCCCAAATTAAATTATCCTGAAGAACGTGATTGAGTTGTATAGTTTTTTTTCTGGTTAAAGACGTGCAGTATATTACCAGAGAAAAAATAATCTAACACTCTCTAAGTTCATTTTAGTCCCGTTAAAACCGAAAGTTAGATTTCAAAACTTAACGGAATTTTGATTTCCAGAAGCTACTATTAAAGTTATGCGAAGCTTTTTCTATTTTCGAAGAAAAATGTTATTTTCGAATAAACATTTATAAAATGCTGAAATGTTGTAGTTTTATTTGTGATCTACTCATTTTTGTTCCGCCTTTCTAAAAATTTATGCCATGTGTGGTTTCTTCTGTTCAGTCAAATTTCGCCGAACAAAAAACGTTTTTACTTCTTTGAGGATATCGACTCCGTGAGTTCGGATCTAAAAAAATAATTTACTCTAATTACTTTTTATAATTTTCTGCGTTTTTGAAAATTGCCAATTTGGCCATGCTCTGAACTAATTTATGAGCGCTGAAATTTTTTAATGATGCTGAAAAAAAACTTGAACCTGCAAAATCTGATTTTTCCCCTGATGTTTGATATAGTCCAAAAGTTTTAAAATCTTTTTTCACCCATTTTTTATGCCACTTAGGAGTTAGTCAGCAAATTCAGTAATTCGCAGTTTTTATCCGATGTTCAGTAATTTCAGAAACGCCAAAATTTTTTTTTTACAGAACAGTTCAAATCAAAAGTTTTTAATAAAAAAAGCCGCTTGGAAAAATTTTGGAAAAGTTTACTGATAATATTACAAGGGTATGGGTTAAAAAGTTATTGTGCAAAACGGTTTTATTGATTTACAAAAAGCATTTGATTTATCAACCATTGTGTTTCATGAAAAAAACTCAAATTCTTGTATTTTAAGGTTGAGTTCACAGTCTTTGGTAAAGTGCTTTCAAAATCGTTATCAATTTATTCAGACAATAAAGAAAATGGGTGTTGTTGAAATAACATGATGAAAACCAGGGGCGGATCAAGGATTTTCTCAAGGAGGGTGGATTTTCAAAAAAATTTCAAAAATTTTGACGACCTTTTTTTTAGGTCGACCAAAATTGATTGATTTTCCAATCGAGCTCTCCTAAAACAGTAAAAAGACCGTTTTTTTGGCCAAATGTTCTGCGCCGCAGGCAAATTTTTGAAAAAACAGGTAAAAAAAACAAACGTTTTTGGGCACTTCGCGTTTTTTTTGGCGCTTTTTGGCGCGCGCTCCCCCTCTAAGTTAGTATATATTGGCGCCAAAGACGCATTCAGAAAAATTTTAGTCGGTCGGCCAAAAATGGACTGCTTGAAAAAGACCAACGCGGGCACTCTTTGAGTTCGCAGGGGTTGAATCCCTGAGGAGGGGAGGCGTCCGCCCATCCCCCCCCCCCCCCCCGCCCCACTCCTATATCCGCCCCTGATGAAAACTATGAACAAATATATTCTGCGGTTTGAAAACAACTTGTGCAAATCAATTGACATACGTTTACAATCAAAGTTTTGTGAAAATCGAAAAGTGTAATTTTGCGTTCCTATTTGAGTATTTAAGCAAAATTGATTTTGAATTGAACATGTCTACTTATGTATAAGTATGAACAAGTAATATTATGAGAACTATAAACAGAAGTTTTGGAAAAATTACAATCATCAATGATGCGAAGCGTAAGTCATGTGCGGTCTTGCAAATTCATCTGCGGTTTGAAAACAGTTTTTAGAACCTATTGGCAAGTATTTAGAATCAAAGTTTAGTGAAATTTAAAAAAAACGTTGCGTAACTGATTAGTTTTTCCGCAAAAATGATGTTAAGTTATTCAAGGTTCTGTTAAGTTATTTAAAGATAAGTTATTTTCAAATTTTTATTTGAAACAATTTGAGCTATTCAATTCTAGAAAGCATTTCAAGTTCAATATTAGTTCTTTTAACTTGATGATATCAAAGAAAGCTGTTTGATTGTCAAAAGCATTGAAAGCATTATGAAATATAACCATATCGGGGCATGCTGAAACTCAAATGAACCCACCTGAACCCACATACCCCCACCTGAACCCACATACCCCCCCCCCCCCCCCCCTCTGAACCCACAAACCCCCTTCCCCCACATGAACCCACATACCCCCTCCCCCCACCTGAACCCACATACCCCCTCCCCCCACCTGAACCGACATACCCCCCACCTGAACACACATACCCCCTCCCCCCACCTGAAATGGGCAAACGCTAGGGGAGTAATGTTGAGTAATATAAAAAAGTAACAAAAATATCAAAATTAGGTAGAAAAAAATTCAATTGAACAACAAGTAACCAACGTAACCAACTTTAATTTAAAACAGAGAAAAAACTTTATGTGCGTTGAATTTCGCATCCCAGTAAAGTGGAAAAAAATCAATTTTAATTTAGTTTCATTGTCAGTGTCCACAAAAGTGAAAATAAATTGATTATAATGGGTGAAAAAAGGAGTTTGTTACCTCAAAAAACAGTAATATTATAATCCATTTTTAATTGATTATAATCGATTTGTTCTCACTTTTGTGGACACTGACAATGAAACTCAATTATAATTGATTTTTATTCATGGAACTCCAATGCGGGAAGGTTTAGCTTTTTGCTAAAAAAACTGTAGAAAAACTTACCTTAAACGCGAAAAAATTACAAAAAACGTAAAATGTGTTTGAAATAAAAAAAAATTGAAAAAAAGACCAAGACTGAACAATAAGAGAATGAATAAATAGAACGTTGCAAGTTTAACTAGTACATTGCAATTTCAATTATATTGATGACAAATCAATGAAATCAATGAAACAATGATGAGTTATGCAAATTGCTATTCAAAACACTTCTATGATATAGCTATGAAACATTGATTGAATGTATATGTACATTGTTGTTTTAATTAAATTGATCGAGGGCGGGTTTATGGGGGTGGGGCGAGGACGGACGCCTTCCCTTTCTCAGGGATTCGACCTCCTGCCGACCCAAAGGGTCCCCCCTTTGGTACTTTTTAAGAAATCCATTTTTGGCCGACCGACCCTAAAATGTTTCTAAAGGCGCCTTCGGAGCCAGTATATACTAACTTTGAGGGGGAGCGCGCGCCCAAAAAAACGCGATAATGTCTTCCGGTGTGCCTTCTTACATTTGGTTCGCAAAAGTTTTTTACGCGTTTAGTATATGAAACCGTTCGTTGGAAGATTCCACCTTTATTTTGAAATTTGGGTCTGCTATAAGGCCCAAAATTAGCAAATTGCCATTTAAGTTTTGTTTTTGAACAATAAACTCATCTTATAATCCCATTTTTTCTCACTGGATTCAGTCTTATAAATTTGTAACAAAAAACTTTGCTTTTTAAATCATAAAAGTCTAAATAGCGACAATTCAGGTAGATAATCTTTTGATGTCTGGATTTACTGCTTCTACAGTTTTAAGAGCAACCTTAGCACATTGCAGTCCAAATTTCACACTTTCGGACAGATTTTTCTTTCTCTGAAAGAAACTTGAAACAAAGCCAGCTACAAAAGAATCGCCAGCGCCTGAACACGAAACTGCATCGTCAATTTTTTTCACTTTGAAATGATAAAAACCAATCGTGTTTTCTTCTAGCCTGTTTTGTGAACTTTCTGCTAGTTGCGTCATTTCAAGTTCTGAGAAGTTTTCAGAAGCTACGATGATTCCTAAATGTCCAAGGGATACCAGAATGGAATCCGAAACTCTAAGAGCCTTTTCAGAATTTTTGGCCACGAGATGCAAACAGTTATCGTCTGTCACTCTTTCGTCAGTTTGCATCGCTTTTTGAAGTGTTGATTTTCCAAACCTTTCATCATTCCTTTTATTTGACATGATTTGGCCGATTGAATCATTCAGCACTATCAACTCTTTCAAATTAGGAGTAATAAATTTGCAAACTTTTGGGTTTTCTGCTAAAACTTGGGCAAAATTTGAGCAACCAGCGTAATCTGTTGGTTCGAAAATAAGAGAAATTTTGTTTTGTTTGCAAATCGAAAATATCTGTCTCGAAGCACTAGGAGAAATATTGCCATCGTGAACTACAACGGAAGATGATTTGATTAAATCTTCGTTTTTTGCCACAAAATCGACCGAAATCTGATGATGAATCTGACTTTGGGCATATCCATGGAGTAATTCTGATGTTGCCGGATGAAGAACTAAGGAGTAGATAGACGTTGGGTGGGTATCACTTATCAGAATGTTTTCTTGACCTACTGGGATAGTTTCAAGGGCTAATTTCCCCAATGGGTCGTTTCCAACGCATGATATAAAATTTGGGTTGCATTTCAGATAATGAAGTGCTTCTGCTATGTTTTTGCCCACGCCGCCGAGTGTTAAGTTAATCTCACTCGGAACCGAAGCCGGTGAAGGTTGAGCTGTCGGCTTAATGGTCATGTCTATATTTATACCACCGATGACTAAAGGACTTTTCTTCAAAACATCTTCTGAGCTTTGCAAACAAGAATTCAATTTTTGTCTCAATTTTATCATTTTTTGTCTGTAACTTTTTGCCAATTCGCAAGCTAACTTGACATTATTTTCAACAAGAGACAAATTAATTTGAAGACTTTTACCATCAGTTAGTTTGCGAACCTTATCCAAAACAAAAGGAGTGAAATCTTTTCCGCTGATTCCCAATTTGTCCGCAGTTTCTATCGATTCTTGTATCGCTTCTTCAATCATTCCAGAATCAACCAATAAATTTTCAGGCAGCGGGTTTGCAATAATTAAACCGCTGTTCAAACTACTCTTTCTGACAAATAACAACAATCTAGTCAATTCATCTAAGTCTTGGCACTTGAAAGGCGATTTTATTTCGGTAGAGTTAGAAAAAAAAGTAGGGAAATATTCTGATTTAAATGATACCACGTTTACTCCTTTCGTTTCGAGAAATTGTAAGGTTTTCGGAATATCCAGGATACTTTTGACACCTGAACAAACCACAGCTACGGGAGTATGAGAAATTTCTTCCAAGTCAGCGCTGATGTCCCACGATTTCTCGACATGTCTATGTACGCCACCTAGCCCTCCAGTGGCAAAAATTGGAATCGATGCCGCATGACAACCAATGAGAGTTGAGGAAACGGTGGTGCCTCCTGATTGGCTATTGGCGAAGACGTTCGGAAGGTCCCGCCTCGAAATCTTTTTGAGATGTGGATCACCACTGCATAAGAAAGTCAGCTCTTCTTCAGTTAGTCCAACCTATAGCATCCATGTCTGATTTTATAATTTAGTCACCTGGAAAATTTGGAGGAGATATTTGCGAAAAATTTTACTAAACTGCAGTATTTTTGGGGCAATGCGTTTTAATTTGAGACAGTTACAAAGAAATGCTCTTCTTATGAGAAAAAGTAATTTCCAAAGTTATTTTGGAACCCAGAATCGTCTTTAAAAGTCGCTATAGGAGTGAACGACTCAGACCAGGGGCGGATCTTGAATTTGAATTTGAATTTAGATACAGTTTAGAGAACACCTACGCCTTTCTCCAAAATTCGCATTTTTTGTTAATAATTATAGGTGCCAAAAGCGCCCTTAGATATTCCTTAAATTTGGTCAGCCAAAAGTGTTATTCAATCGTAAAATTGCATCAAAGGATGAGCATTTCCAAACCACATACACGCCCTAATAGAAAGTTATAGGTTCAACAGTGGCGCAGTTGACTTGCTAGTGACTTAAATTGGTGCCTGACCTTTAGTTGTCCATCAATCACTCCTACGGTGGATCCCAAAACTCCACAATTGTCACAAAGAGACTCGAGATGTTTGGCAGCCTTCAAATTGGTACCTAAAATATGTGCCACTTGCTTGTTAAGACTTTCGCTTTTTCGGCGTTTCTTATTCATAGCCCCAAACCGACCAAGCTTGCTAACAAAAAAAACACAGCTCCATCACAATTTGATTTTTGCTGTATGGGGAGGGGACTTCAAACGGCAAAAGAAAATTTTTGGAATAATGACTGGGGCGGTGAAAATTCTGGTTTTATAATTAGACTATCCGGGCCGCATTTTGCCAAATCCTGACAGGCGCGACCAAAACTGGGTATCAACAGAGAGTCATGACCAAAAACTGGCATCTCCTGACTTTGTAGACCGAGGAGATGCGTCTGCGGCCGGCAAGACTAGAGAAAAAAGTTTCCACCACCGGCGCGACAAAAGATAAGTTAACCGCGGCCGGTGCACCCGAAGAAAACGTACTGAAATTTGGCGAAACTAGTGAAAATTTGATTGCGACCGATACGACTTCCTCGAATCATCTTTTATTCTTGATTCGCATTTTATTAGCCACTTAACGGTTTTTGTTTTACAATTAAGCAAAAACTGTTTCATTATACCAAATTGTAATATTGTTTTTTTTTGTTCCTTTGAGCTTTTCTCAAACTGTGATATCAAGTCAAACTAGTTCCATGGAGGTTAGCTCTTATCTTTTGCTCTTGATCTATTTAAAATTTCTAAAGAATCTGAATGTAAATTTTGCTATGTTAATTTTGAAATTAGTCGTTTAGAAAAAGCCTAAATTTGTGCTCAATTTTGCCCTCTAGTGTAAATTATCTCAAATTTTGATTACCAGCAGCTTCCAAACATCGCGTCTCGGTTTTATAATAATAATAATCATAATAATAATAATAATAATAATTGTAGCTCCTGCGAATCGCAGAGGAGCTATCAGTAGGCCTTAACAGTCCTGTCAAGGATAGTCCATTTGTATTATCTCCCCACATTCCAGACAGTGTTATTTTGCTGAGCGAAGCTGTTTTTTGCGACTCAAGGCTGTTTTGTTTTGCGTCTAGAGCTTTTACGTGGTACCACTATTGCAGCCAAATTGAGTCAGGTTGTGGTAGACCTGAAACTGGAAGTCAAGTGAGAGCTTGTCCTCACACACCATCACTACCATGACCAAATTTGAAACTACCGCGACAAAGTATATTGAAAACTACCGTGACTAAGTATATTGAAACTACCGGGACCGAGATATTGAAACTATCGCAAATAATTTTTAGACTATCGCGACCGGTACTTTTAGATTTTGTTTGAGACCAATTTTGAAACTATCGCGACTTAGGTGTTAGATTATCGAGACCGAGAATTTGAAATAATCGCAATTTAATTTTTAGACTATCGCGACCTTGAATTTGCGTGCGACTCAATTTTTAGACTTTGTGTGCGACTATAAAAAATCTGTCCAGACTATAATTTTTTGGTCGAGCGCAGAGTTGAAATCGGTGCAGTTTCTAAATATGTCATGGACCTCAACCTGGGTAGCGTTTAGGCGCAAACTCTTTTAGCCTCTAAAATGCATGTTTCCAAAGAGTACTTTGAACAAATTTTTCCCCCGTTTTTTAAGATTTTTTTCAATGTAGATAAAGAGCAAATGATCAGAGCTACCCTCCGTGAAATTTTCAAATATTGGCTTCAACAGCTCTTTCGAGTTTATTCCGGGTTTTCAAAAGCCAGTTTTCACTAAGCTTTGTATCGGGTTCAACGCTCTCACAGAAAAATGGCACAAACTCAAAAAATTGTTTCCCGACGTGAAAACTTAACAAAACGATGAATGGTTCAGTGTGATTACATTACTAAACCCAGCTGCTTCTCTTATGCGGTTTAAGTGCAGTTGGGGAAAACTTTTTTAAGAACAAAAGAAAAACAGATAAAATCCTAAATCGTAATTTTATAGTTCCATGGAGGGTAGCTCTGATCTTTTGCTCTTGATCCATTTAAAGTTTTTGTAGAATGTGAATGTAAGTTTTGCTACGTTAATTTTGAAATTAATCGTTTGAGAAAAAAACCTAAATTTGTGCTCAATTTTACCCTCTAGTGAAAATTATCTCAAATTTTGATTGCCAGCAGCTTGTTTGATATAATTTTTTTGCTTATGACAGCAAAAAAGATAAGGATAATCATTTCTTAGCTTTATCTTTATGCTTCCTTAAAAATATTATAGGACCTAATTGTTTTATTAACATCCCAAAAACAGCAACTTTGGATTTCTGGCGCTTTAAGAAAACGGTGTCATACCTATGGGCAAACCATGTGTTAAAATGGTGCTTTCTAGAGCTACCACTGCTCTTCCTCTGGCAACAGCATCCTGAACATCTGGAGATACTTTGACAAAATCAGAAGACATCTTGGAACTAAATCTCATCTGGGCATAATTTGCAGTGCGTTTTGAAAACAGATATCTGGTTAATAGTTTGCTGGAGTTAAGGTATTGCATGACTGTATGCGAAAGTCACAATAATTTATAATTGTAGTCTGACTCTAATAATGCAATATAATTTTGATCTCATACAGTGAATATAGAAATCAGTTCATTCATAACCATGTTTAAATCAGTTCTTGGGCTAAATTTATTGATTTAATGACGTGGTACCTCTACAACCATGAATTCGCTAATGTCACATCACATTGACATATGTATTCACCCAATAAAGATGAACCCCCAGATTGACCAAAACTTCTTATCATATAGTTTCCATATATGAGAATATTCTGGTCATTCAATTTCATTTAATTCCATACGTACAGAAAATTGTATGAAATCTCTATTTTAAAAAATTTTCCCATGTATGAAAATTGGAAGATGTTATTCCATAAACCAAAAAGTTGACTTTTTGTTTCTAAATTTAATTTCACAAAAATTTTGGGTTGTGTCTGTAAATTTTGGTTTGTTTTTGACAAAGACCTTGGTTAACTCAAAGCGCCAAAAGTTGGACGAGCTTGCATTTACAATGCATAGAAGACGACCTGAATTGTCATAGAGCTGTCTTTCACAAATGATATAACGAAAGTAACAAAATTTTGAATTTTGGCAGAACTTTTTAACAATGATTCATGTAAAATCTTGAACTTTTAATTTAACAGACATTAATCAAGGCATAGACGAACACCCCATACAAAAGAAATAGAAGTTTTCACCGTTTTTGAAAAAAATTATTTAGAGAAAAGGAAAAAAATCCAAGTTTAGTGTATCCAAGACTACGTTATGCACGCAAAAAAACTAAATTTTGCAAGTGAAACCTTTTTTGGAAAATGTTTGCTTGCGTACAAAAGTCAGTTTGCGGTTGAAAAAAAAACAAAAAAGTTTTTGGTGCGATTTCGAGTTTACTTGGAAAATTTTTTGTGTCGCCGTCAAAAAATGCTAGTCATACAATTTCCATATATGGGAATTGTATGATAAGCATTTTTTCAAAAAAACCCTCGGTTTTTTATCACCAGTCTGTTTTATTTTTCGAAATTGTATGTACATTGCATGACAAGCATTTTTCCACCCACTTGATATATGGAATTGTATGACGTCAACCCGTTACAAGTTGGATGTCAACCCGAAACGTTTTTAAAGCTTAAATGTCAAAATAAAGAGTGGCCTCATGATCCCAATGTTGAACAAAAAATCTTTTTTTTTCAAATCACTGGATTTGGAACATTATGTGCTAGCTGCACAGCAATCGCTTACTCTTGTTACGAAATTTTGTCTACTTTCATATTTTCTTTCTTCCTTGTTTAAGTTTGAAAGTATCAAAAAATTGGGCCAAACAAGAATACCCGGGTTGATTTCTCACGAAAAATTATCGTTAACTCAGATATATTGCAGCGGTTACCATTCATGGTTCAGTCAATGATCAGGGTCAAATTATCCATGACCAGGGCTAAATGTAGACATTGAAACACTTTGAAATGCCGCTGATGTAAGGCCTACAGTGTCGCTTATCATTTTTCTTGTTGTTTGTTCACAGCTGATTGATTGCCAGCATCAGAAACTACCCTTTTCTTGAAAAATTTGCTTAAATAATTTATAATGATTATGATGATTTACAAATCAAGTTACATTAAATGATATTTAGTATATCAAAATGAAAAATGGAATTGATATTAGCTCATCAAACTAAAATATACACAAATTTCATCTTTCATAACAGATACATAAGTTTTATAATTTATAAGTTTTTATAATTTATAAATTTATCATTTATTTTTAGGAGCTCGCTTTTGTTGTAGATGTCCTCTTGAGATTGATACAAAATACAATCGATTACCAAGCGCAGATGCAGGGATTTCAATTGTTTTGTTGAACTTTTGAAAATAATTTCTGATTAAACAGCCCGGGTAGACAAAAAAAGTTGTCCATAAGTTTTTCAATTTTACGCTTGCGATTAGCAAGCATTATCAAATCGGACAAAGACTTTTTTCGGGTTTAACAACTTTTTTAACGCAATCACTTGAATCACTTGCTATCTTTTTTCATAATGAGTCAAATTTCTAATTGTCTCCGGCACACGTAGTCTGGATCTAACGAATATGCCTGAGGCGGCCAAAGCACTGGGATCGAAGACCTGTTTTTTTTCAGAACAATTGTCGGTTTATTGTTTGTCTTATGTTGTGTCGGCTTAGTGAACACATCTTAGATATTTTGCTGTACGCAGTTTTCGTTCTAGTTGCTTTCTATTTCTATCTCTATTTCTTCATTTACTCATGCAATTTGTACTTCTCCTAGGCTTGAATTCGCATATTTTACGTTTTTTCGCTTAATTAATTTTCGGCCTAAATGGTTTTGACTGATTTTTTATTGCCTTACCAACCTAAATTTGGGTCATTCGAGGTAACCAGAATTTGTATGCTTTCCTACGGATCGCACAAAACGTTAAAATTCTCAAAATAGAATTTATTGCTCAAAGTTTTTTTCTTGGCAACAATTTGATTTTTGCCTATTAATTAATTTTAAAATTTCATTAAATGTCGTCGAATGCGTTTATGGACGCGTTTGTTGCAAATAGAATATCATTCCAGTCAACGTTTCAATTTTTTTTATTGTGGTTTCTTTGAAATTTTTTCTGTTTTCTTTGGACTTAGCGGTTCTCCCTCCTGTACAGTTTGCTAGCTTGCAAAGCTATTTTTGTGGTATCGCAAATGATGCGAAGCTCTGCGTCGCCTCTGTGTTGGGAAATGCTTCTCATAAAAATTCATATCATTCCATCGAAAAAATGTTATGAAATTAGCATAATTCGTTTTTTCGAATGATTAGCATTTTTTTCATTATTTGAATTGTATGATACACATTTTTTCTGTATTTCAAACATTTATGTTTGGAATTAGGTGTGAGGTTTATCTCACAATTCCGAGCGGATCACCTCTCCAATGTTAAGTTTGAATCAGAAAGAAAGAAAGAAAAATAGATTTCCTGAACTCTGAAATTTTAATGAGGCGAAAGCTTGAGCAAGAATTCACACATTTTTGCATTTTCGAAAGCTCACGCAGAGCTGAGGACCAGTCGGAAGAGCTCTTAAGCACCTCAAATATCGATACTTCAATTATCGTTCGATTGTTTTGAATTTTACATTGTTTATGTTGGTCCAAATTATGCAAAGGTTTGCGAGTTTTGAAACTAACTGATTGTATTTCATATTTTTTTTATTACCTTATAGACGGCTTACTAATAAATTATAAAGAAAAAAGTTTCAAATTTCGTTCGTATACGTCAAATCAATAATTTTTTTTCTTTGTAACAATTTCTAGAATCTAATTTTCTAGATTTGATTATTTCAGTTTTCTTGCAACCTTGGTAGAATTTCATCAATGGATTTTAATAAAAGTCAAATTAACCATCAGAATTACAAATCTATTCACCATCTGTTTATTAAACCTATTTCACCAATTGATTTGAAACTGCTTAATCTTATTTTTACATAAAACGATGGACAATTTTGACAAAAAAATATGCACCACCTAATCCCGTTCTTAACATCGCGACCTAAGTAAGCCTTTTCAAGGCCAGTTTTGTACAATTTGATGGCACATTGGAGAAAATGTGATATTGGCAAAAATTGGCAATAAATTTTGAGTCTGCTTGGAATAACCTTGCCTGGACAGGGCAGGTGTGCCTTATATCATTGCTAAGTGTAACACCAAGTTCATTGTTGCGTTGGTAGTATCAAAAAAAGCAGGAGAATGAAGAATAAGCGGCCAATTAATCTCACTTCAGAGCCCATAAACTTCATCTCTACTCTTGGGATATATTCCTTCTTTTTGTCGCCTCTCTTTCACTTGATGTTTGTAATCAACTGATATATACACCACCGTGCTTAGTCTCAAACAGGGGTGCATCCCTCTCGTCCGAAGGACTGAATGCCCAAAAATTCTCCTGTTCTATGAGAACTCAGTTTTCAAAAGTTTAAAAGAAACTACTCTGAAAATTGCAGTCGGATTTGGAAAGTTATAAAGATGTTGATTGGTTGAATTTTTTGGGTATTCGATCTTTCGGCTGTAAGAATAATCCCAGCTTCAATTAACCAAGATTTACATTATACGAAAAAAATGAAGATGAAATTTAATAACAAAGAAGAAAACGAGTTTGCTGGCATTTCCCCAGAACTGATAAAAAAATGATACATTTGAGTTGAAATTTAAAGAGTATGTTTTCCTTCCTCAATTAGATACATGATGATTGTTTCTGAATTTTGCACTTTTTTTTCTTACCATGTAATTTCTTACTCATTGAACAGTCTCACCTGATTAATTATTGATTATTTCAGTCAGCCGTAATCAAAATTTCCTGATAGAAACCGTTAAGATTACGTAAGAGAAAGCAAATTTTATATTGCCTCATTTTTTTCCAATTCCGATGCAAACACAGTGCGTCCTTTTTCGTTTAAGTCTTTGAGAAAACAAAAATAGATAGTTATTTCAGCTGGCCAATAATACTTGCTTTTAATTCATTCGTTTTTTTTGGCAAAGTAATATTTATTTTTAAAGAAATGACTTCAGAATCATCCGTCTCGAAAATTAACTTAGATAACAATGATTTTCACAACTGTCGTTTATGGAGGAAGTTACGATACGAATCATCTGATCAGTTATTTTCACTTAGCCCCAGTTTTACAGAAGATGACAAAATTGATAATTTAGCAATAATTCCCAAACAGTTTCGAGACATTAAAATCACATATGAAAATTTATCTGGACAACAATCTTCTCTGATAAGAACTAATAGCTTTCGACCGGGGTCAAACTCATCTACAAATGGGCTAAAAGACAAATCTTCAGATGTTGTCAGAGGGAAACTGCACGGAGTTGCAAATGGGGTCATCGGGAGGTCAAAGGAGGCCAAACTCCGGGCAGCAGAAGAAAACAAGGAAGGGGAGGGGCAATGGGAGAACTCTTGGGCGGGGCTGATGAGGTACAAGCAGCAGAAGTGTCTTTTTATGTATCCCAAGAGTGTGGAACGGGAGTTGTTGTTGATTCATGAAGTGTACAGAAAGTACGTCTGCATTTTATGTATCTCAAACTTTACTTAAATTTTACGCTGTTTTATTTTAGAGAAGTCTATAAAACATAGAAGCCGAGAGAATTCGAAGTAGGTCGAAACTTAGTCTAACAAATTTGAATGCGGAGTTATAACCAACCGTTAGACAAGCATCATATATTTGGAAAGCATCTAACGTTTTTCTAGACTCCTGATGCAGAAACTGCAAGTGACGATGTCGGAAATGGATGAACTGAGACGACCTACCAGAGTGCACTCGGGTGAGTCATCAGCCTATCCTAGTGACATGGGGTTGGTGAGGAGCATCAGACTGCAACAGAGGGTGCCCAGACCAGGAAACAACGAACTCAATCATGATCAGGCTAGTAAAAAACCGAAAGATCAGAATTTTCTGTTTCTGTTTTCATAAGGATAATGTAGTTCGGCGGTGTTTTTCATTTCATGCCTTGCCTTCTTTGAAACTTGGCCTATTAATCATCATCTAAAATAATTTCAGCCATAAGCTGTACTGATTTTTTTCTTGTTTATAGGTTTTGGTTAAACACCATTTTTACAAGAAACCCATATTGATTGATTGAAACTTTTTTAGACGTCTCTTTGGCGGTAGAATGTGTCTGTAAAGGTTGAAAAATCATGAATTGCAAAATGCAAACAACCAAAAATATGAGTTTCCAATTTGCGAGAAACAGAAATCATTCAATGAGTCCATTAGCTATTCAGTCAGCATTTAAATGTACTACTATGAACTACAATCAACGTATAATTTTATAGATCAGGTTCGCCCGTGTTGAGGATAGAAGGGGACGACCCAGTAGTGCATCAATCCCGGGAAAAAGAAGCGGGCTTTTCAGAGATGGTAAAAAGTCAACGTCTTCAATTGACGCTCTAAACATAGATGTTCACCAGAAACAAACCCAGTGCAACGAAATATGCTTGCTTCTCAGAAAATCTGAAATCGAACAAACTGATTTAGAAAAGGCTACCCAAAGGTCAAACACCACTTCTTTGTATAAATCGTTTGCCCAAAACAGAGAAAAACTTGCTCCATACAAAGTTTCTTTGAAAGATGGCGTTAGAAAAACTCAAAATGCTCACAAAAGGCAGGCAAATAACAGTGCAATAAAACATCAAATAAATTCGAATCTCGGTTCACTTTCGATGAAACAGAAATTCGATGATGAAAAGTTTAAAGAAAACAACGCTTTCACGTCGAAAACAGCGAAAACGAAACTTGTTCAGAGGTATACCCATTCAAATATGCCAGCTGGTGTTGCAAATTCGAACTTGGGGCTAATAAAGACGGCCGAGATGACCGATTTTAGAGACTTCAGGCAGTTTGTGACAATGACTTACAATAATAATTGTGAATGAGAGTTTGTTGTAGCATTTCTTTGTTTTCTTAAATCACATATTTTAATAATTCTTGCTCACAAATTGATTTTTCCACAATTTTGAAAGGCAGTACAGAGCGATGATTTAAATTATTCAGACGAAACAAATAAAAACTTGAATTTTAAAATGTTTTTTTTTTGACAAATTGGTTGAATGTGGCCAAAAAATGATGAAGACAAAAGTTTCCTCAAATTGTAGCAGAATAAATAAAGTGCTATTTATTTCTCAAAATTTTGGGCCTAAAACTTTACACCAAAAACAGGAAGTTTTTTCCCTTTAACAGTGAATCAAAAATACTTCAAGCGACGAGTTTGAACTGTGACAAAACTATATCAAAAAGAGCTTCTCATAGCCCAAAAGTTAAGGGAGGGTTTAATCTCCAAAAATTTGCTCAAATTAAAAAAATTTTAATAAAAAAATAGAAAAACCATATAGTAAACAGGATTGTTCGTATCAAGGCTTAGCCCTGTATTTTCTCACTGCCTTTTAGGCTCCGTGAAGTAGTGTTCGCTTTTAAAAAGTTTCAAATTTTAGCTTGAGATTTTTTTTCGTTTTGTTTGATAAATATCATTCCCCTGAATTATAGTAAGCAAAAAAGTGATACAATTCAGAAATAGCAAAGCACTGATTAGACAAAATAGGATGTTTCAATTCAATTTGGAACTATTTCTACAACAGATGAAATCGCTGCTTACACTTTAATAGCATCAAGTGCATTGCGCGTTAATTTTCCCAAAATGACGAAATTGACAATCTTTGAACCGCCCCATAATTTTGCGCAAAATGATCACGAGTAAAATATTTTCAAATTTGAGCTCAGGATAACAAAACCTTTTGATTGATATAAGAAAACTCTATCAAAAAATGCTAGTTGAAAAGCCAACATTTTTCTGGAAAAAAAAAGAAAACTGCCCGATTTGATCAAATTTAATTGTTCTCAGCTATTTTTGGTGAATTAAGTATTGGCAAAACTAGGAATTTCGGGCTGAGTTTGTTAAAATTAAAAATTTAAATTTTGAGACGTATATGGAAATAATGAAACCTTGTGGCAGGATACTATACTGGTGTGCACACTCGGATGGGCGCATGCACTCAAGCTATCGATTTCTGTTGGATCAAATTTAGGTGAAAAATCATTACAAGGCCAAACTATATATTTTGTGACTGGTTCAATTTACAAAAATTGATCACAGTTAATTTATCTTTTCAATTTTGAGCTCAAAACAACAATTATTTTCGGCTGGTATAAAAAATTTCATCAAAAGTTCCTAGTCCTGAAATATGTCTGGAGAAAAATCAACCCGAGCACAATTGTTTTGTCACTTTGTGCGCAAGTTTGAACATAAAAAGATTTTTGGCTATCCTGCCAAAAAAAATTTTCATTTTAAAAAATCGAGAACATAGTACCCTTCTGAAAACTTTGAAAAAGTTAAACTCTTGAATACCGATAAGGCCGTACTTAAATACAGTTGGCTTGTGCAAGAGGTTATCTTTGATACGCTGACTTGCCGGCAAATGAATTTTTATGTTGACGATTAATCAATATCAGAAGGAGCTTTTTTACTTCCAAGTTGTGATAGATTTGTCCGCATAATCGAAATCAGCTTTTGTTGTCGAATTTTGAGAGAGAAACATCAGTCGCCAAAAAACATCGAGGAACCTGCAACACTCATCGAATACACTTTTTATCTTTTTTTTTGTCTACGATCAATTAGTTAAGTCGATTTGACTACGATTAGTCATGCCAAGTCAGAGTCTAATTGGAAAAAAATTGAGGTTCATATAATATAATTGAGAAGAGAAGATATGAAATTAATTATTTGATCACTTTTGAAGTTTTTCAATTTGTAATGAGTTTGTAAAATGAAAATTTCGGAGCTCTTTTAATTGGAAAAGTTTCATTTGTTATTGTGAATCTATTTCGCTATTTTGCGCGTATTTGGTAGTTGCAGATAAAATTTCGATCATAAGAAAAAATGGTTTTTTTTTCCAAATTGCCTCCTCTTTTGCACGTAGAAGGATGATTGGATCTTAACATATATCTACAATTTTCATAATAATGATAAAATATTAACCAGGGGCGGATTTAGTGAGGGGGCGGGGGGGGGGGGGGCGGACGCCCCTTCTTCAGGGATTCGACCCCCTGCCGACCCAAAGGGTCCCCCCTTTGATACTTTTTCAGAAATCCATTTTTGGCCGACCGACCCTAAAATTTTTCTAGAGGCGCCAAAAAAACGCAATTTTGTTGTAAAAATTTTTCAAAAAGTGCCCAAAAACGGCTTTTTTTTTACTGTTTTTTCAAAAATTTGCCTGCGGCGCACAAAATTTACCCCCAAAAAAGGGGCAGCAAAACAGTGCTTTGGGAGAGCTCGAAAAATCAATTTGGTCGACCTAAAAAAAAAAAAAGGTCGTCAAAATTTTAGAAAAATTTTTGAAAATCCGCTCCCCTTCGAGAAAATCCTAGATCCGCCCCTGATATTAACTATTAACTACATATTTGTTCACAAAAAAAATTATTGCAAAAAAACTTGAGAAAATATTAGATTTTTTTTTCACATTCATTGCAAAACATTGTATAGAAAAAATTTTGTTCCCAAAAAGTGCTTTAGAATATAGCAAACATTTTAACTGGATGCGAAAAAGGGATGCGAATTAATTTTCATGGCTTAACTTAATTTGTCAGGACTAAATTTATAAGCATATCATTAGCTTTTTTCAAACTCATTATATCGGCTTTTTTCGCACGAAATTAGACAAAATATAACTATCAAAAATTGCAAATTATCTTTTTTGACACAGAAAATTTTGTCGAAAATAGTTTTATATTAATTCAAATCACATTTGAAATGGCTTGAAAATGATATAGCAGTTGATGCAATCCAAGGACTTTTTGTGGTACCTGATTTTGCGCAGAGAGCAAAAACATCGATGTCGGAACAAAATATCGAGTTAAAACTTCAAACAGGAGAACAGTCACGTTTTCCTAAAAAATTGAACTGAAAAGATAAAAATGATTGCAGCAGTTTAATTGATGTTTCCGTATCGTTCCAAATTGTCAGTTTCAAACTTCTCTAAGGTGTCAACAAAAAGCTTTGCCCCATTATAGTCACTGAGCAAAAAGTATCCCTGGATCGCTTAAGGTTACAGTGTAGGTAAGTATGATTTATCTTTTTTTATTACAAGACAAAGATGTTTGCTGCTAAAAAAACTCGGACAAATAATTCCAAGTGATATATGAATTCCATTTTGATCTAAAAAAGTCTCAATTTTTTCCTCAGTATTTCGGTATGATTTGTCTAAATGGTTATTTTCAACGACAATACACAAGTTGTTCACATTTTAAAGTTTATGAGAAAAAAGTTTCTGCTGAAAGTCAGAAAAAAATTGCAACATATTTTTAAAGTTACAGGAACAAAGTTTTATCTGTGTAAAAATAAGTTGAAAAGTCGTCTTGAAGCGTACAAAATTGATATTTGGAAAAAATTGTTGATAAATTGTTATATTTTTTGTACTATTCCAAAAACTGGAGTCAGTTATAATTGATCAACTTTTTCAAATATTAGATTCTATTCCTTCATAAGAAAAGTTTATCATTTTTCAATAGATCATAATGTTTTCTTCATAACTTCATGAAACGGAGTCTAATACAATGATAACATTAAATATCAGCTATTTTACTGAGCGTGTGCACTTAAATCGTTTTCAGTATTAACTACTGGCACTTTTTCCTATAACGCAGTCGAATCTCAATATTTAACCCAAACTAACCAAAAATGACTATGAGTGTTTTTCGTGAAGCCAGATTAATCAATTCGATATTTGAAAAAAGGGACAATTTTGGTTTTTCGTGTTTTAGTTTTTCCTGAGCAAATTCAATTACATCGGCAAACATAGGCGATAGAAAAATTAAATGTGGTTTTTATTTGTATGAATTGCAGGATAGAAACTCTAGATTATTGTGTTTAATTTTGCCAGCCACGACAATGGAAATATTTGACGACAAGGAAAGTTTTATTTAAAAACCCTTAAGTTTGCTGTTTTGGCCAAACTCTTAAGAAAAATTTTGATTCAACAGGAGATAGTAGCTCACTGTCTATGAATTGTCATCGTAACATTAAGTAAAGCTCAAGAAAATCCAATTTCTCAAGTTTTTCGATTACCCATCAGTCAAGTTTTGATGTTTTCAGCCGTGTCTGAGACGGCTGATATAATTTGAATAGTTTTATAAAAATATAATTTGAATAGTTTTATAAAGCCAATAATATTTTTGGTTACGATACGCATTTTGTGAAACTATAGAAATGAAAATCAAAATTTTATTCAGAAACTGGAAAATTTTGTGGAGACTCCAAACATTGAAGAAAACTGATGCTATGAGAAAAAACTGGAATATATGTTTAATCAACTCATTATTTTGGATTTTTGTAGTCTCTACAAACTTATGAAGAAAGTTTTTAATCTGAATCCGAGTCATTTTGCGAATCGCTTTAAAAAAATTTGGAAAACTATTTATGAGACAGTAGAAGAACTTCAAGTTCTGGTAACAAGTAAAAATTTCTGGTGTTTTTTAGTTTTAGTCACTAATTATTTTCTTTAGTCTTTTAAGATTATGTGTCAAATTGGAGAATTCGTCTGATTTAAACATTTTGGATTGAGTCACAAAATCACTTTCACCGCGAAAAACTTTACTTAAAAGGTTGAAGAAATGGTATAATTAAAGCTCTTTTTACTGTTTTTTTTCTTTTCTTCTCGCAATAAACACACTGATTCAAACATTTTCGTGAAGCTTAAGACTTCAGTGAAGTTGTTGATGCTAAGATCTACTTTGTCTAGGTTTTTGTTTTTGAGGTCGACCCCTATACTTTTACACCATTTTCGAAAACGTTTCAACTTATGCTTGCTAAAACTTGTTCAGCTGCTAATTATTTAGAATTTTGCGCACAAACTATTTAGCTTTGTTTTAACAATTTCATTTTTCATCGAGATACAAACCCAAAAATCTGAATACAAATATTGGCTCTATGTCTTTTTTGTTCATATTAAATGAGTAGTTGTTCTTTACGTTTCGTCTAGTGAACCTAACTATTTTGGTTTTGTTTAAACTTTAAATCCGTTTGCTATCGTCCAAACGTTTTTTTTGCGTTTCTTAATGCATTCACGAGGTTTTATTCAGTTTTGACTTTTTTGACTGGCTTTTGATAACTGCATCATTGGCATAAAGATAAGCAATTGTGTTTTATTCAATTTCGGTATATCATCAAAATACAGAATGAAAAGCAGTGATCAATGATTTGAGCCCTGTTAGGGTGCGTTTTTTCTTATTCTGTTGATGCTTACAAATTGCTTACTGTCTGAGAATTACGATGCTAGAATGTCATTTGCTGGTCCTTATATGCCGTGGCCATAACAATCGTTTAAAAGAAGCTTATGACCAACGGTATCAAACGCTTTTCTTAGTCCAAGAAAAGTACACTGAGTCTCAATGACTAGATGGAGTCTCTATGAGTGTTCGATTGTTTTCTTTGACGCAACATCAGGTCGCGAAATTATGAAGTCGAGTGATATATATCATAATGAAGATCGTACAGTCCTGACTCAACCACCGTTGTGGGTTTTCATTAAAAATTTTGAAACGCATCAAGAGCGGATTGAAAATCTGAATCAGAATAAACGATTTGATCTCAAACCCAGTTGATTTTTTTTTTGGGGGGGGGGGGGGGGGGGGTGGACGTTCTTTTCTTCAGGAATTCGACCCCTGCCGACCCAAATGATCCCCCCTTTGTACTATTTTGAGATATCTTTTTTTGGCTGACTGACTTTAAAGTTTTTCTAAAGTCGCCTTTGGCGCCAATCTATAGCAACTTTGAGGGGGAAGCGCGCGCCGAAAAAAACGCAATTTTTTGTTCGAAATTTTCCAAAAGTACCTAAAAACACCTCTTTTTTGGCCTCTTTTCAAAAATTTTACTGCGGCGCAGAACAGCTCAGAAGATCAATTTGGTCGACCTAAAAAAATAACAAAAAAGGTCGACAAAATTTTCAATTTTTGTTTTGAAAATCCGCCCCCTCGAGAAATTTCTAGATCTTTTGTGAAATTTGCTGCGAAGTGGTTTTAGTGCTTGTACCTTCCAAAATTGAATAACTGCGTTAATATGTTTTTATTCAGACAAAAACAATTTTAATTTAATTTGAAAAGTGTATCTTATTTTTTGCCAAAAATTACCCTAGAAAAATAAAGGATAGTCGGAGCAAGCAAAGTTTTGCCCTGATACCAGCAGCAGTCTTCTTTTGATTTTTTATTTGCTTCCTTGATATTTGATTCTGTCTCTTTTCTAACTGTCAATGAAGCTACCAAGATGTAAAAATTATAAATCATTCAGGTTATGAAATTTTTCCATTTCATCAATACCCTTTCATAGATCCTCTGCGAATCGCAGCAACCAAATTTATATTGATTATTAAAAGCCTTAAAGTATAAACTGTAAAATAATAGAAGTTTTTTCGGCAATTTTGTTTTCTCGCAAAGCTAGTGTAAAGGATCAGAAAAAGAGCTATCGCAGCATTTATGGACTTGGAATGAGCATATGCTCTCTGCGCTGTCTGTTTGGCCTTTCATTGCTTGTTTAATACGATTTTTTCGCTCCGAGTTTTCCTGATTTTCAGACAGGTGTGTTATTTTTAACTATAAAACACGCAATCCGTGGGATGATGAAATGCTCTATTCATTTGCACGCAAGTTTAAAAAATTATTCCTTCTTGATAGCAGGCCAAACAATACAAAATTACTCCCATAGCTATAACTATATCAGGATCAGCAATTGCTACAACAAACACCTGAAAACACAAAACATAATCGCTCATCTTGATTAAACGCAACTGAGACTTACCATACTTAAACGTTCTTTCATAGTTTTAATGGTATTGTTGCATTTTTTCACGTGTTTTAAGATATATACCATTCTTAAATTCAACGAACGTAGCTTCAAATATTTTCATCATGTTGAGTTATTTATGACAATATAGACGCTTCATTTCTCTCAAATATACCACCTGATTGCTCAATTTTGTTTGTATTTTGACAACTGAAGATTGAAAATACCAGAAAAATAACCAAAATATATGATTTAATCAATTTAACCAGCATGGAAAAACAACGAAGTTTCAAATATTCTCGTTACAAATAATTTAATTCGGTCAATTAAAAAAGCTCAGTTTAATCTAGAACTAGTTTGCTACTTTTTCAAAAAATATTTTAAATATTTCCTGAGTTTTATAAAGTTTCTGGACACTTCATTTAATTCAGTTTATACTGAAAAAAATCAGTTTTATCATTTAAGTTACTGGCTAGTCTTCAAAATGTCTTCCAGTTTGACGTCTCAACTGGACTTCGACTTAGAGTTCTGCACAGAAACCGTAGAATGCAGAGTGTTCGACTTACACACAAAAGTGTCTGAGGATGACCACAGGGTGGGGTTGATAGTGGTTGGGTGTCTGTTGTCCATATTAGTTGGGGGCCTAATCGCGTTTGTGGTGTGCAGAACGTGTCTGAGAAAACGACTTCTTACAAAGGTGAAAAAAGATTTAATTTAATTAGATAGTTTGAAAAAAGGCAAACAGCAAAAATATCCAACCTTTTTTAAAATGAAGAATCTAAGTTTTTACCATTCATTGACTTCGAACATGTTGGTCATTTTTGGTGAAATCTTATCGAACCAGACGCGAAATTCAGCAAGATGAAATTGCTTGGGAAAACTTATAGCGAGTGGTATCAAACAATTTACAACAAACTTCATTGAAGCTTTTTTGATGGGGTAGTGATCTGATTCTCAATTTCAGGCAAAAGCAGTGTCAGACCAAAAAAATGCAGACAAATACGAAGAGCGCCTCAATATGATAGAACGAAAGAAACAGGTCAGCCAAATAATATATCAAAGAATTGCCAACTTAGCAATATAACTAGCTTAATTTTTTTAATTTGAATATTCATGGAAAAAACAAGCCATGGTGAGACTGGAAAGAACTATGGCGTAGGGTAGCTTGTGTGACACCCGGGCGCGGATCTAGGATTTTCTCGAGAGGGGGGTGGCGGATTTTCAATAAATTTCGAAATTTTTGTCGACTTTTTTTTTTAGGTCGACCAAATTTATTTCTGAGCACTCTTAAATCATTATATAGACCCCACTTTGACCAAACTTTCTGCGCTGCAGGCAGAACTCTGAAAAAACAGGCCAAAAAAAGCGTTTTTAGTTAACTTTTGGAAAATGTTGACCAAAAAATCGCGTTTTTTCGGCGCGCTCTCCCCCCTAAAAACTAGTATTTATTGGTACCGCTGCTAGAAATTTATAGGGCCCATTGCTGACCGTCCGATACACCCCCCCTTAATTCGCTACTGGTGGCGACACCCCATTCTAGAATTCTTCTGGAAGGCTCGTTAGAATCAATTCTGGTATCATATTAAAGCCCTCTTGGTCGTGATTTTGATGCCAAAATTGGTATAATTGCTCAAGCTAAATTCAGCCATGAGTAGATATTTTACTGAATGAATATTATAAACTCATTCTGATTGAGAGGAATAGATAAAATCATTTGCAGCACCAGCGGATTTTTTATAGGGGGGGGGGGCGATTAGGGTTCGGGTTGTCTATGAAAAGTATAGCCTGAGAATTGCTGTTTCTTCTGTAAAAAAAGTAGGCTTCGGAACAAGCATTCTCAAAAACTTATGAAACTGTAATTTTACAAAAAACTAGAAAAAAATTGATGTCTTAGAATTGAAAATCCTTTCTGCCCATCAGAGTTGTCCTGAATTTTGATTTAATATAACTACAAAGCACCTGATTCAGTTGCTCTGTAATTATTATAGCACAGATTTCACAGTTTTTCCTACAGATTCTGAAAATTGGCTTAACCGTCCAAAGTTTCACTGATTTACATTTCCAATAAACTTTTGATTTAAATGTCCACTGATTTTTACATGTCCAAAGGTTGCAAACTGAGAAAAAAATTTCTCCCAACAACTCTTCAAATAATCACAGATTTGTTGAATCAAAGATAATTGCTATTTTAAAAATATAAACTTTTTCATAACTGAAGTCGCAATAAGTCAAGTTCTTTCTAAGTTCTTTCTAACTCTCGACCAGCAAACATGTTAAGCTCAAGAAAAAAATACTGCAACCTTGAAAATGTATTTAATTTTCTGAACCCCCCCGCAGAACGAATGTGTGGCCTATTGGACCAATTTTCTCTGAATGGATTATTTGCATAAAAATGTGCCAATTATGAACTTATTTTGATATCAAAACAGTTTAGGTTGTTAACATTTTTGTTTTGAAATTGGAAAGTTGTAAAAAGTTCAAAAAAAAATTAATCATAGATTTTTTGTGGTTCTACTGATAATTTTTAGACTACCAAATTTTCTAACAATCTTTTTTACCAAAGTTACATAGTTTCAAACAATCATAACAATCTGTGGTTCAAAATTTTACAAAAAAAATCAATAACATGAAAAACAACATTGATTGCTGTAGTCGGAAAAATCAGTACGGCTTCCTTTACAACGATTTATGCCGGGTTTCACAGTGTTGTAAAAAGTTCACTCTGTTGTTCTCAAGGTTTTTCTGATTTAGTTTTAAAAACTGTTTCAATTTTTTGAAAATAGCAATTTGCATGATAAGCTGCAATTAGAGAAAAAAGCAACATTTCAAAGGTTGCGCAGCAACATCAAAAGGTTTATTTGTAGATTTTGTTAGATGTTGGTTTTTATCCATCAGCATTTCTTGCAGATCGACGTATTTCTTCTTAAGGAGACATAAATCAAATGTTTTCAGAATTTTGTTATCAAAAATGACAAGTTGAACAGTTTTTCGAAAAATTGGAAAGTAGAAAACATAAAAAAAATTAAAACTTCATCAATACATTTTTTCTTTATCAATGAGCTATTTGCAGCTTAGGGTTTTTTCATAATAACATTTATTTTTTTTGAATAGTGTTCTTTTAATAGGGACTTAAAATTGCCCAAATTTTGGAGTTTTGAATCAAAAAATGTTTTCAAAAATTGGATGATACTTTTTCTCTTCTCATGTCACCTTTGGTCACTGACTGGAAAAAACAATCAAGTTTTCTTCTATTTTGCAAATACATATCTGCGCGACAAAGCAGCAAAAAATTTCACTACTACATTTTTTGATCTGATTTTTCTCTCACCGCATTGTCAAAACTAATCGATTATCGCCAGTAAAATCTACAGTTCAGCAGTCTTATATTTTATTACACTAAATCATGGATTTTTTTCTCTCAAATGGATTACAATCGATTGCAATTCATTCTTATTTTTATCGATTCGATAGTCACCAAAATCCATTCTTAAGCGCATATGTTGGTACAGATTATACACAAATTTTATACAGATTATATACACAATTCATACAGATTATATACACCACAAAATACATTAAATCCTTTTTATTTTCGATTGAATTTTTATAAGAAAAAGGCGATTTGAAAAAAAAATGTTTTTTTTTGTTTTACTTGTCTTGTTTTTTAAATGAAAATAACCAGAGTCGATTAAAACAACATAAAATTGTCAAAAAATACAAAAATTGATAACTTTTTTCTGCTCAAAGTAGTTTTTTTCTAGATACTGTTTGTGGGTGTGTTTACGTACGTTGTAGGTGGGTGGTGATATCAAGAAAAAACTGGACAAAAGGATTTTTTTCCGAAAATCAAAAATCCCAGAATCTACCATTCTGTAGGAGCATTTTAGTAAAAAAAGACGCGGTCCCAGAAATGAATATTGGGGGTAAAGGTCTAGCCATCTTGAAAATTTTGCCAAGATCTTGAAGAATTTAGATGAAGTATCAAAGATAGCAAAAAACCTTCAAATATTTTTATTTCTTTTATAAGATTTTTAACACTACAAAATCCATAAAAATATTCCTAGATAAGACATTCCCACTGTTATACACGATAAAACGTCAAACACGAATTTGACTAAGATTGAAACATTTTTTTTCCATTGCGTGCTTATGATGTGCAGTTTTGCTGAAATTTTTTTTGATACTTTTTTCAATAAGTTTCCCTATTTTTCAAAACAATTTTTGAAGTTTTTTGTGTTTGCATTTTTCTTTCATTTATCAATATCAACTGTCAATGAAAAGTAAAGATGCGATTTTTAAGTAACGGTTGTTGTATTTATATACTAGCAACTATATTTTCAAGTTTTCAACGAATTCATCAAAATGCTGCGCAAGCCGTCGTTGCTAAATTGGGCTTGAAGTATCTTATCAAAGTCTCGGAATGCCCTTGGAGATCAATTATGTTAATTTTTTCTCAACATCTGAATTGGAGGCTTATCAGGAGATTCTACTGTCACTCCTGCTAGCGGCGCTTCAGACGAGACATAAATTGGGTTAACACGTGAATTATGAGTTGAAAACTATAAAGTTCAGGCAATGTGAATTTTGGGGACAGCGAAATGATTTCTTTTTTTTAGAATCATTTTTTCAATTGTGTCTTCTATTTGTTCCGACCAGTTTCCGAGAGTGGCAAGCCGCTATGGCCTAAAATGGATTTTGGCATTGATTTAATGTACTTCAAAACACACAGGGAATCGATGGTGTTATATCAACAAAGTACTTTCAGTCACAAGCATTGCAATACCGTTACAAAAATTTATACCTTTCGTCGGGAAAAGCGGGTCTGCGTATTTCCGTTTCTCGGGCTGATTTTCAGCTGACGATGGTGTAGATAACCACCAATTATCAAACTTGTTTAAATCTGATTTTAGTTCTAAGTAATTTTTCCGGGCCTCAAAAAGGTTTTTTGAAGACTTAGCCTTTCTCTGCCAACAAACCTTTTTTTTCTAATGGAAACGTTTAAATAATTTTTCTTGCAGTAAATGATTTCTTAGCTCGAAAAACTCGTTGCCACTTGTACATAACTCTTTCTAAATTCATGCTTTTGATTATTTTTAGGCCCGCTTAGTACAACTGCATCAAGACAGCAGCGAGGTCTCATCGACAAGTTGCAGTGACAACGAACCATCATCAGAAGACGAAGAAAAAATAGACACTGACTACTTGGAAAAACTGAGCCAGCCTTTACCTGATGAAACAGGTAGCTGATAAAATTCCAAGACAAAAATGTCAGAGAGCTCATAATAAGCCTAAAAAACACAAAAAATGAGTTTTTATGGGAGTTAAAAAACTTTGAGTCTACGATGATTGCGTTGCGCGTAACTGTGATAAGACCCAGAACGAAACTTTTTTCTAAAGTTTTTATGTGTCCCAGTGGCTAGGGTGGTACACAAAAATAGAAAAATCGAAAAAGAATGTTTGGCGTTCAATATCTGATTTCTTTGAAAACCAACAAATTTATCATAATAAATATAAATGTTCCAATCTTCAGCGTCAAAAGAAGAACTAGAAATGAGGGCAGCTGAAGTGAGGTGTGAACAAGAGGTTCAGAAGGAGGTTGAAGAAGAGGTCAGAGAATGGGAAGTGGCAGAGATTTCAACTGATTTGAAGGCATTTCACCCCCGAGCGGTTGAACAAACAAAGTCAAAGTGTCTTGCTCACATATTAGTGCTGCATCAGAGGTACTTTTACGCAAAACAAGACCAGTTCGTGAGAGTTATTGTCGTACCTACATTTGAAAGAGTGCCGGAACTTTCTCATCGGATATGTTTGATTTTTACTTTTTACACGCAAAATCAAGTAACATCAATTATGACCGGAATGGATCGTGATAATTTTTCAGACGTGATTCAGACGACTTTAAAATTACTCAAAAACCGGTACAATTTTTTTGGTTTTAAGTCTAATTTCGAGTGAACAAAGCGAGAGAACAGGCTTTTAATAGGGCGACAAACTTTGATTTAGGACGTAAAAGTTTACTTATAGTCCATTAAAATTATCTTTAGAAGTCTTTTAGCGCCTTTATTAGGAAAAGTTATCTTTTTAAAAAAATTTAAAAATCGGAAAAATTTTAAAACTTTTTTTTGATTTTTTGTTTTTTGTTTAGTTTTCCTATTCATTGTTTGAGGAAAACTTATCGAATATGCCTAAGTTCTAGGTTGATCTTTACACCTTCTCATTTCTCGACGAACAAAAAAAAACTACACAGTTTGAAAAAAAATTGTTCTAGTTTTTTGTATTTTTGTGGTCGAAATTTACTGTGCTACTTCCACGACAACCGACTTTTACTTGTTATTTGCTTGTTTTTTTTCTGTAGTCCCCTTTGAAGTTGCGATTTTTCTGCAGGTTGCGTTGAAATAAAAATTTCTGAAAAGTTCAATTTTATAGCCTCGGATATTCCAGCAGCAAGTTTTAGCCTTTTAAGGGATTCATTAGTACTCTGAACAAAAAAAAATTGTGTCCAAAAACCGTTGGGTTGTTCCGATTGGGCTTTTTTCTCGCATTTGTTTGTTTTCCATAGTATTTTTATTAGTATTTCAGTATTACAATCGCATTAACTTCATTTTTTGTTTTTGCTCATTTTAGCTCATCTTAGGACTATTCCAGTCAGTTTAATATTCACACAAAGTTAATATATTTCACGTTTCAGCTACTCAAAAGCTCCACGTTTCTACTATTTTTTCACTAGTCAATTGCTCCACGTTTTTACAGAGAACAAGTGGAACGAGAACTTCTTTCGCTCGAAGTATCTTCTCTCGTGGACCAATTGTGTGAATGGAGGTCAATCAAGTTCAAGTGTGCAGTGCATTTGGTGAAGATACTGCTGAATCCTCTGGTGAAAAAACAGCAGAAGGTGGATGCAGACATGGCTGAATTGTTGATCAGGCAGTTGGAGAAGGTAAACAACTTCATTTCACTGTTCACAAAAACTACAATGAGCGATACGGATGCTGGGCAAAAGCAAATACAGTTTAATTGAGTATCAAGCCATCAAGGCATTAGCCCCAGAAATTGATTTAGTTTCAAGATTTTGGTGACGGCTCATGCAGTCGTTGAAAAAAGAACTTGCACGTTGCTTGACATTTCATATGATTCTTCTAACTAGTTTGACTCTAGCAATAAGATAATTCAAGTCTGAAGCGAATATAACAAGATTCAGCTGATATATCTTGGGAGTTTCCTCCCCAGGTCGAGGTTTGGGAATTATGTTTCGGCAGAGGCAGGTCAAGCACATGTCATAGTTCGACAGAAAATTCCTATTCGAGAAGGCCCTACAGTCGAACTCAAAGTCGAAACACAAAATCATAACACAGCATCGAGTAGTAAGTCGATTCATAAAGTCTGACAGTCAAAGTCGAAGTTGTTACTTTTGATTGCAAATGTTTTTGTAGAGTTTAGAAGATGAGTGGTCGGCTGGGGCACGTGATCTGTTCCTCCGATTGAAAAGAATTGAAAAAGAGGACGAAGGAAGAGACAGACTGCACAAAGTAAGCAACAAAATAAATGGCAGCAAATCAGAAAAAGAGATCGAGGAGGAGTTATTGTTGCTGAGGAGACGGAAGGAAAGTGCAATCAGGACTGCACAGTCGGAGTTCCTAGGAGAGACGGTCAGCTCTCAAACTTTTCATGAAAAAAAATCGCGTTCCTTGTTTTCAGTTTAAGACATTTTTTTTCATTTTATCGGCTCTGATCGAATTTTGTGGAAAGAACAAGAAATTTTTTCGATAACTAACGCAACAGTAAGAATGAACTGAGTCGTAGGCTGAGATTGTTTGGTAATTTTCAAGTACATCCAAGAAAGGGAGAAAAGGATCGAACGTGGCATCTTAAAAAAAATCCTTTTCAACTTTGATTTGGAACTTTAAAAATTTAATTTTTGAGTGTTTTTTTGCAGTCTTGAGTCCTGAGAATTACTCATATATTTTTCATGCTTTTTGCATGAGATAAGAGTATTGTTAAAAACAAATGGAACTGAGATTAAGTACTACTTTTTGCGCATATAGGCAGGGGCGGATCTAGGATTTTTTCGAGGGAGGGGGGGGGGGGGGGGCGGATTTTGACGACCTTTTTTTTGGCACTTTTTGAAAAATTTTGACAAAAAAAAATCGCGTTCTTTTGGCGCGCGCTACCCCTCAAAAATAGTTAAAATTGGCGCCAAAGGCGCCCTTAGAAAAATTTTAGGGTCGGTAGGCCAAAAATGGATTTCTTAAAAAGTATCAAAAGGGGGACCCTTTGGGTCGGCAGGGGGTCGAATCCCTGAGGGAAAGGGGGGCGTCCGCCCCTGCATATAGGTAATACTCATTTTTTGTCTGCCAAATGTGAATAATTTTTCGTTAACTTGGCGGACAATTTTAAAAAACGTCAAAAAATCAAAGATGTTTTTCAATTATTGCTTAACAAAACTTCAAATTGACCTTGTTTTTGTTTGACTTTATAGTGACGCAGTTTCAATTTCAGATCTGTTTGTCCAAAAGTTGTTCTAGCCCCTACTTTTACCAAAAATCGAAGGTTTAAACAAAACTATTTAGTAAATATCCGATTTTATTAAATTATGTTTCAACTTTTGTTACGGTCTTAATGTTTTTTTACTCGCTTCAAAATCCTCAATACGCGATCAAACTGGACGCTGAATTTTATCAAACTTGGATCTCTTATTAATTTTTTTGCTTATTGATCTTTTCAGAGCCGAGTACTAGAGACTTTAGTTGACCTTCTTCAGTCTAAATTGAGACAGGAGACAGACTTGAGCCTTGAAGAGGTCAGCAACCTCATACGTGAGCTGAAGAGCTCAATTGGTCTTATGGAGCGAATGAGCAGTGAACAACTATTCGATCAGCACATGGTGAGTTTTAAGGTTTTTGGCTTGTAATTTTTTAAATGATGAAATTTTTCTTTTTACCAGTCTTCAATACTACTGATCCATAAACTATTGAATCAACTTTGCGACATCGCAAACTACTAAACCTTACATCAAATTAAGTTTGAACTTTTTTTAATAATTCGAAACAATTCCCGCACTGACAAATTTGAGGTTGAAATTGGTTTAAATAGATTTTGTACAGATAATATATTGTATGAAAATCGATATAAAAATTGATTTAAAATAAAAAATCATATTAGAGTTTAAAAAATTGATTTAGATCGATTCTTTCAGATTTTTGCAATGCAATGAAATCCATCAAAATCTCACCAAAAATGATTTAATTCAACTATTTTTTTGTTTCGAAATTTGAACATTTTTTGTGCTCAAGAAAAATCTCCATCGGAGCTACAGAGACCAAGAGGGTTTTTTTCGCAATTTATTTTGATGAAGAGAGTCTCTTTTGAATTTTGCAAATTTAAGGGCTTCCGGAGTATCAAAAATAAAATTTATCCAAATATCATTTTCTTTATCGACGTAAGGCGCAATTATATACTCAGAGTTTCTGTTCAGGCCAGGCATCAACACGAAAGTCAAATGAAAAGCATACCTCATAATTTTATTTCCAAATTTCTCTATTCTTTGATTGCCTAGAAAATCTGGATGTAATCCGTAAAGAATCTGTATAAAATGAGTTTTCGAATAAGTTGAATAGCGGCCACAATTTGTTTTTTTTCAGTTTTGCAGAAAAAATACTTGCAGATTCGTAAAATTGAAATACTGGATTATTACGACATGGAAAACAATTTTGATTCATAAAATCAATGATTAGAAAAATAATGGAACAAACCAACAACTTGATTGCACGATCTAGGTTTAAAACCACAATAGATGATAACGACAATATTTTACCCCAGGAAAAAAAATTTTAAATCAATTTTCATCCAAGGAACGTCAGTGCGGGCGTATATCGGCAGTATAAGCACATTGCAGGGCATCGAAAAAAAAGCTTTCGAAAAACTCATTTAAGAAGAGAAACTAAAGAATTATTTGTACCAAAAATGCTCTAGTTTTTTTCTCGTTTTTGCAAGCACTGTTCACCGTTATTGTATTCGATCACTTTTTTGTCTTTGAGTGTGTTTGTCTTTTTTAAACAGTTTTTTTTTTCACAAAAAAGTAAGTACCACAAACAAATGCAAAATGAAATCGAGTAAAATATAGCTCTAAAGCCCTATCAATTAAGATTTTGACAGCGTTTTAGGAAACTTCGGAAAAACTTTCAAAAATTGGTTTGAATGTTATGATTTTTAACCGGTTATAGAGGGTAAATTGATTAGGGTGAGAAAAAAGGAGCAAATTTCATGTTGAATACTTTATTTTACATGCCTCAACTAGTGTATACTGGCACTATAAAATGTGCATGAAAAAAAATTAACACTATTTATAAAAATTCGAATTTGTTTAAGGTTACTTTTTTATGTCTTCTTTTTTATCAATTTGTCGTTCTGTAATTTCCAAAGATAGCTCTAGATAAAATTCCGTCTCCTTTCTTCTTCCTTTCTTCCAGGCACGCAAAAAACGACAAAAATTGGAATTTCTTTTTTTCCGAAACAAAGTGTGGTTGCAATTTTTATTATTGAATTGTGATTTATCCTTGCTGGCATTTTTATAATTGACATGCGACTTATCCTTGTACCAAATTATGAGTTACTAATGTATTTTGGAGATTTATGTATGATTTCTGGCCGAATTTAGATATCGCGGAAGCTGTTTGAAAAAAGACGGAAACTAGCCTTACCTCTCGCCCTGCGCAGAACCCTCCGAGACCAGCTGATCCACAACAGCCTAGACAGCATGACACTTATTCTGAAGGGGAAGGGAGGGGAAATTAGTGAGAAGCAGTTGAATGAAGCTGTGGCTCAGTATGAATCGATGTTTAAAGAGTCTGCCAATCAAAAACTTGCAGGTACGTGTTGGGTTTGTCTTCGTTACAAGAGTTACTATTATGATTCATTTTGATGCTACTGTTCAAAAATTTTCATTACGGTAAATTATTGAATCTAAACCGACGTAATTAATTGAAAAAGCATAATTAAAATATTAGTTGAATTTCGTGATCTCGAAGTAATTTTTTGAACCAACATTTGCTATGCATTTTTTGCGAGAAACAGAGGCTTCTGAAGGCACAAAGTAGTGGCTCACTAAGCTGAAGACAAAGCTCAAAAAATTATAATGACTGACAGTTATAATTATAAGTCGGTTAATACCACGCCATTAATGAAATCCTTCAATGTCGGTAAAAAGCTACTGTGCATAACGCTTCTAGGAAGCTTCTAGAAGTACTTCGTCTCCCATCACTTATCGTACCAATGGTGTATAGGCGAGAAAGCGTCGTTGCAGTCTCTGAGCAGCAGACTCGCAGACGAAAGGGACAAGAGAGTGGGTGAGGTGAAGGGGAAACTGGAGGCGGATGAGAAGGAAGAGTTCTTCGGAAGGGTGGCAAAGACTATCAAGAAACCAGACCAATTCGTACAGGTCAATAAGCACTCATAAATTACCATTTGACTGTTTGCTAATTCTCAGTGCTTACGATTAGTGAAAGTAGACAGTCGTTAAAAAAAATTCAATGTGAAGTTAGACTACATTTACAACACGTCAACCTTTTTTTGTACAAGAAAACCTGTTTTTTATTTACAGCAAGTTTTTTTGCACGAGAATAGCTATGCAGAAGGGAAGAAGGAGTGATTATGAAGGGAAAAAGGAGATAAGGGATGAGAAGTGATTATGATTGGTGTCATTATGATTGGTATGTTATACTTATAGGAGTTTCTGCAGTTCCTGTCTAAACAGAGGGAAGATATTTGGACTCTGATTGGCCAGTTGGACGAAGAAGAAGCAAAAACTGTAGAAAAGGAATCAATCAACCCGGTACGTTTTCAAAAAACTTAATTAAAACGCTAATGAGAGCTTGATGACATCAATGAATCAATCAAACTTTGGTAGTCTTATCTATCAGAAACTACAAAATTTATGAAATTTTTTGAGCCGTCATTCAAAGAATTAGCAAATGCAATTATATTTATTCGGCAGAGCTAAAAAAATTAATCAAAAAAAGTCGCCAAATTTTTTGAAAAAAGTCGCCGTTAAAAAATTCCACGAAAAATTTCTTCTCAGTTTTTCGTTAGCCAACTTTAAAAGAATCGATACCATGAAACATTGCCGGATCGGATTTTTTTCGGAGCTTGAGAGGAAAAAAGTTATCGGCTTTTGAGTACTTTGTAAGACCTTCCTTACTAATTTTTTCATTTTCAGAAAACAATTTCATGTGAGGCGGGGGATTCTGAGAAAACATTCACAGATTGGCTTGTGAGACAAAACATGGTGGCGAACTCAGAAGTGAATTATGTTTTGAAGTCATTTGAGAACCAGCAGAAAAAGTTTCTCGAGAGAAAGTCAGGGCAGCTGAAAGAAAAGGTTGACGAGATATCAAAACAGTACACGGCCAGCAAAGATGTAAGATCAATCAAAACTAAATGAAATTTGTATTTTTTTTGGTTTCTGAACACTGAAAATGGGGACAAACTTAGTCTTCCGATATGTTTGACTTTTTTCTACGCAATACTAGGTCCCACAAAAAATTATTGGCATTAAGAATTCCTATAATTTTGCCCAGTGTCGAGAAAAATTGTTGGTTTTGTTTTTGAGTCTAATTTGGACGAGTAAAGGAAACAGTTAATAAAAAAAATACTTATTGAATCTCATCTTATTTTTCAAAAATTAGATATTCAAATTATAGATATTCAAATTATAGCTGCGGAAAACTATTTTGGGAGCTTAATTCAGCGCCTTTCTGGAACTATGCCCACACCGAGCGCCCATGTATCATAAAGGATTATTTTGTCATAATATGGTCAGTATCTATAAAATTACAAAATATTCGATTATAATCTATTAAAAATGGATTATATATCAAAAAATTTTCATGTCAATTTAATCCATTATAATCGATTTTAATCCATTAAAAATGAAATAAAATCCTAATAGCTTTTACCCGTTTACTTGAGGGGTGACAGTGAGACATAGCATTTAGTAAAAGACATGGCATACATTAAGCAAATTTCTTGCACAATTTGCAAAATTGCTGTAAAAATATTCAAATTTGTTCTAAAAAAATGGTTTAAAATCAATTATACTGGATTATAATGGACTTTTATTCTTAAAAAATTGATTTTAAAGGATTATCTCGGCAAAAATAATTAATTTCCTTGCCAAAAATATTAGATTATAATCGATTATAATGGACTATAGTGGATTATTTTTTTTTCCAATAAAATCGATTTCGTTGTTTGAATTTTACCTTTTTAATGGATTATGATGGATTATTTTTGTCTCGGGAATTTTTGTCATTTTTTAAAAGTAGTCCTCAGTATATTTAATATTGTAACGAATATAACTGACGTCTGTTAGTTTTTGTGAAATAAATGTAGGAAAGTTTGAATTTGTGTATCGAAACCACGCAGAAAAAGCAACTCTGTTGAGAAAAATGGTTTAAAAAATTTTGTTTCAAAAACCTTTTTTGTAATATTTTGTGAAGGTGACAATTCGTAACAGGCCGCAATTTGTAATCAGCAAAATTCGTTAAATTGGCTGTTCGTAACAAAGCACACGCTTGCTCCATTTCGCTCCACTATGCGAACATAGGGAATGAGTGGAATACAGCGCGCAAATCAGTGTTTGCCAATAAAGCTTTGCAATGAAGTGTCACTTGTTACAAATTATCACCAGTTACTTTTGATTAAAATTTTTGTCTTCGGTCGGATTTAAAAATTAATTTAGATTTTTTTCAGTTTCTGGCCAGTTTACCCGCGGTGTCAAAAATTGATTAAAAACAATTATTTTCAGAAAATTATGCAGATTTCTGATCTGTTCACATATTGTATAGCAAAACTTCAATTGTAAGTTTTAATAATTCACTTTGTATTGCTTCGTTTTTTCTTGTAGATCTTCATTATACAATCATTACTAAAACACTCTAAACGCATTAAATGCTGACTATTTATAGATTACCTACACGTTTTATTCTGTTATTTTTTCAACATGATTGCCTTTCCGATTAAATGACTATATTGAAATTAAATCTTTTTTTTTCAATCAGTGATATTGAATTATTATGCTACTAAAACGCAATTTTCCCAGTTAATTTTTGAAATCTTTTGTTGACTTTTTCCTCTCAAAATTGTGCTAAAAAGCTGCTCTAGTAAATGACATTTGAAGAAGTTTTGCACAAAAGTATACTTCTCAACGTGTGAAAACTTAGGTTTGAACATTAGGGATCTGATCGATCCTGTAATTTATGGTAAGTTTAACTCACCATGACAATGAGCAAAAATTTGTCAAAACAAAACAAGTAATATTTTAAAATTTGCACGGTCAAAACTGCAAAACTGAAGTTGTAAAGACCACTATAGTTAATAAAGAATATATATAATTTCATACAAAATTCGTCATATTATACACAGATTGTCTACAAATTTAAAACCAATTTTCCACAGATTATATGCAGCTGTTAAAGAAATGAAAAATTGACAGTTTTTGGTGGAAAAATTGGTTCTATCTGCATAGAAATGAATATCGTATTCAAAAAGTTTGAAGACAAACAAATTTTATACCTTCGCTTACGTTAACTTTTAGATGCTTCGACAGATATTTGTTTTTTATTCAATTTTCTCTCTGCGGGTAAGTTGTCATCAAAATGACTTGAGTAATATATCTTTCTCAAACCCTTTCAGTCGTGATTCGAACATTTTCAAAAAATGCAGAAATTTCTTCAATGTCGAGAAAAAACGATTTACATTTTTTCCTGTTTGCCCAAATTCGAGCAGGTGTAGCGAGCAAGTTACAGTTTTTGTCTGAAATTTTATTGTATTAGCTAAAAAAAATTGACATTGAAAAGAGCCATTGAAGACTCAAGTGAGGCTACCTGAAGAATTTAACAGTTGAAAAGGTAAAAACAACCGTGTAAAAAACGAGAAAGTTATTAGCTTTGAGAAAACTTGGCTTTTCGAAGACTTTGATCTTTTTTGTTTTTGTGTTTTTGTTTCGTTAGTATTGACCAAAATAAAGAAACAAAACAAAAAAATCAATTTTATTAACTCTTTTTTACACAGTTTGTTGTCTTTTGAAAAAAAATCTTTGAAAAATGAATCCTTGAAAATTTTTTTAAAGGGCAAAAAATTGTGTTTAGAAAACCATTTCGGAACTATAGGCCGCTTTTGTGCGTTATGGCGAGAGGACCTGAATGAGCGATGCGAATATTTTTAAGGATTCATTGAAAAAAGTTTTTGAAAAATGAATCCTAGAAAATGTTCGTATTGCTCATTCAAGTCCTCTCGCCACAACACGCACACAAAAACGGCCTATAGTTCCGAAATTGTTTTCTAAACACAGTACCTCATTTAACGGCCAGCTGCAAAAAAAAACGAAATTAGAGGTTAAAGTTGAATATTTGGAAAAGTTTCATAAACAGTTTTAAAGTAGCATAACTCAAAATTTTCACTGTGCTTACAGATAATATTGAGAGAGGTCTCGTCTGTGAAATCGGACATCAAGCAAGTTTCGACAAAGCTTGAAAACTCACTGAACAAACTACTTGATCGTCAAATTGGCATGGAAGAAAGGCAAGACACGGGAACTTTCTTAGCTTCTTTTCTTAAATGATACTTTTGGATCTTCAATTGAACTTGTTTCAGGGCTAAAGAAGTGATACAAGCAGAATTCGATTATGAAGTCTCAAAAATTAGCTTTATTTTGACATCACAGAAACTTATGAATTTGAAAATGTGAGTCTTTTTACATTTATTATATAAAAAAATAAGAAAAAGTTTTTTAATGGCAGTATGCATTAAGTAGAATTCAATTAAAATTGATTGAAAAAATAGAACTTTATACGCCGCTTATTCACGAGGGAAAGTACCAACATACAATCTGTTCAGCTCAAAGCAGAACAACATTGTTCTATCGATTGTCTTTTTGGATCAGTTATTGTGTGATGGTTGATGAACGACTTGCTTTCAGTTATGAGTTTGAACGTGGCGATAGACTGTGTAAAATGCAAGTGTACAAAGACAGACAGAGAGATGATCTTCTTATGATTGCCTTCAACCAGAGAGAATCAGCTCAGAAAGATCAGGCCAGTAGAATAAATTTTTAACCAGTTATTTTGAGATCTGAGAGGGTTTTAGCATGGTCGTAACTAGTCTAGTATTAACTTTGAATTAGTCAGATTGTGTATTCCACCCCATGCCATGGCATTGATAGTTTGTGAGGACGAGCTCTGTGAGGATTACCTTAGTCTGACCGATTACGACTGCAATAGTGGTACAACGTGAAAGTTCTGGACGCAAAAAAAAACGGTCTTGAGTCGCAAAAAAAAGAGCTTTGCTCAACAAAATAACACAGTCTGGAATGTGGGGAGATAATACCAATGGTTTATTCTTCGACAGGCCTGTTAAGGCGTACTGATAGCTCCTCTTTGATTCGCAGGAACCACATAACAACATTTCAATGAATCCTTAAAAGTTCAAATTTGACCTGGACTCTAAAAGAATAATTCTTTCACACTTGCTATTCTTTTATTTCAGTTTTTCTTCCATCATTTTTCTAATCCCTAAATTCATTTGGCTGAATGCCTGAGAGACTAATCTACCAGAGTTTTCATTTCTTTGAACATACACATTTGCTCAAAACAGCCCAAAATTAAAAAAGACTGCTCGTGTCAGGGCGAAGCCCTGAATGGTCCGACTGCTTTTCAACTTAAAAAAAAACGTAATGATATAAAACGTTTTTATTTTAAATTCGAGATTTTTTTGTGAAAATGATCCCCCCACACGCCATATAAAGACATAGACTTTGCTCCTAGTAACAAATCAGTTACTAGGAGCGCTGAAATATTTTTTTAAATTAAAAAATATCATAACTCGACAATAACATGTTTCAGATAAAACATTTTGTCAAAAATGCTTAGTTACTAAGTCGAAAAATGACTGAATAAAGAAAACCACACCAAGCATAAATATTCCTTACTTTCTTAGAAAATATCGTCACGAAAATCGGAACAATATGTTTTCACGGCACAGCAGGCTATAAATTTACAAACAATTAAATGATATCTCTGCATCAATTAGAAAGTATCGAAATTTGAATGCAACTTAAGGTTATAATAATCTGAATTCTTTTTTCAGGCCATCAAACTGAGTTTCGAGAAGAAACGAGTCGAATTTGAAAACTCAAGAGCTGAGCTCAGCATGCGAAACCAAATATCCTCAGACACTAACTCGGCAGTCAAAAAACTGGAGGTCAAACTAAGTGAACTGATGGGAAAGGTCAACTGCCAACTAGCAAGACGAACTTTGCTGACCCGAAGACAAAATAATGCCCTGGAGTCAATCGATGCAAAACTCAGAGAAATATTGTTGGAAAAAGCTGAAAATGACCCAAGTTTCAGTACAACATTGACAAAATTAATTCAGGAGTTTGAAATGGACGACAAACAACATGCAAAAATGACCTCGGATTCTAAAAAAGAGGAGCAAAGGGTGAAATTCAAGAATAAAACAGCGGCAAGATTGGAAGTTGCAGAAGAAAAAGTTGGAAAAGAGAGTTTATCAGAGACTAAAAAACAAGTAAAAGAACATGAAATTAAGGATGAAGATATGAGGAAACTTCTTCTAAGCGAGAATAAAGAGAGAAAGTTGAATGAAGTGAAGAGGGATTTGAAAGAAGAAGAAGCTTTGGATTTAAAATTACTGGAGCGAAAACTGAAAAAGGACTACGACCAAAATATAGAGGTAATTTCCTAACTTATAAAAAAGAGGTTAAATTGAAATTTACTAGTTGGTCTCAAAATTTTTTCGTGATAGACAAAAAGATCCTACACAAACAACAAAATGCAACAATGTTTTCGTCTCATAAATTGATATTTCTTTTAGGGTTTTCGGTTTGTTTTTTTACTATAGTCCGCTTAATGCACAGTCCACTTAGTACATATTTCTCTCTAAAACTCCAAAAAAAGTAAGTTTAAAATGCTTTGGAATCACGGGAAGATTATTACGATGGCTTTAAGCTCTCGTTACTCTGTTCCTCGTTTTCGAGAAAAACTTCAGCTTTTAAAAAGTGCCAAAATCTTATTCTTTCATTTTTTGCTTTAACAGGAAAGCAGGAAAGAACTGATAGGCAAACTTGCTGCGTTTGGAGAAGTGACTGAAAGCGAGGTCAAAGAGCTACTCCTCAATGCAATCATCGGTAATTAAAAGCTGATTTTGTAACCTTTACGAACTGTAGTTAATAACTGTTACGAATGGTCGCATGGTACGTGTTGTTGCTTCTTGATTTCTGCTATTCTTTTTTTACTGCAGACATCGAGATATTTCTTTCTTAATTGAATTATCGCAGCCCACAGACACCCTAGCTATTCTCCTTTTTTTACCTTACTCTAGCGAGTAACAACACTACGGAACTGTATGATCCACAATTTCGATATGGTTAAATTGATGGCCAGACCTAAAAAGCTCTGATCAAAGGGTTTTGCAGCTACTCCCGTGATTTTCTCTTTTCGGCCTCTCTCTTTCTTTAATGAGTCCAGCAAAAGCAATATGTCGATTAATTTTCAACCCCGATAGCTAAATGTAGTTTACAGTGACCACAATGACCTACTTTATTACTATACTGCTTCTACAAGAAAGAAATTGGTTCGTTCTGTTCAACCACTACGTCGTTACAATAGCTCGTCGATTCTCGCGCGACTCAAATCCAATGAACTCCAACAGCAGAGCTCGCTCATCAACTAACCCCATTAGGTATTAAATTCGTTTTCAATTAACAACAACTGATCAGCTCTCTCAGGAACAACTCCAATTGCAACTACCCGGAATCTAACCCAGGTTCAACACAATTCAACTTTTTCGCCGACTCACGTACCGAGATTCACTAACAAATTCGCTCCAGTCTTCTCGATTTCGGTTCTATCTCCAACTATGTGAAGCAAAAGTTTGCTCTTTTAGCGTTATTGTTCTCTAACTGATGAGAAACAACTATACTAAAGCTTAGCACCAAATATTCTATCTAACAGTAGGAAATCCGTAACCTTTCAACCTGGTTGCCGTTCGGAGTTTTAGTTTTAGTTAGAGTTATCATCATCCCTATAAGTCCTGTCATTGGTTTTGGTACCTCCTAGACAAGGCCCTAACTGAATTATTCCTCTGACAATTCTAGTTCTAAATGCCATAACTGAGTAATTTTCACTAAGTGATCTTTGCTGGTTGATTGCTTAGCAATCTATCCTAAGAGTTACACGTCTCACATAAGATCGTCAATTTTTTTGACAGAAGAGTAGAAAGAATAGTTAGAAAAGAGTATGAATTAATGAGCTTGATAAAAAAAAAGCACAGGGTTATTGGGTTATATAAATGAATCGAACCGCTTAGAGAAAAATACCTATGATGGACGGGGTTTTAGATACCATTTTCACTTTTATATTTTTATCTTACTAAGATTGATGATGGGGTAGATGCCTCGAGTCAGTCTCCGGTGGGTCCGTTCTTCTGAGTCTTTTTGTGAGGAGTTGTCCGATGATCTTCAGGCTCTGATTTGTGTCGTTATTAGTTATCTTGATTTGTTTTTTATCGAAGTTTAGAGAAAAAAATGAATTGTTTATTTTTGCAAAAAGTCTAATTTTATAAATTTGTAAAAACAGAAAAGGAAAAATTAAATTTTAGAAAATTTAAGCTATAAGATTTGAGAACTTGCTGCTGACTGAATATTTCAGGCCAGTAATTTTGCTCGTAAGCCTAAGCCGGCGGCTGATTCATCTAACAAAGAATTCAGATTTCACCTGCTCCTTTAACCTTCCATCATCATAAGGGTTCATGCACCTGCAATAAGATGCATCATATTCCAGGTGCATCTCTGCTTAATCAAAGCCAGGAGGATTCTGCGGAGCCGGCAAGGCTGCTAAATATTTATCCATCTTATTTCAAGTTATAGCAAACAGGGACGTGTTAGTAGTCGCCTCCCTTTTAAAACACTGAGCATGAAAATATGAGAAAAATTGGACAAGTATTTAAAAAGTAATGAATTTTCAAAACAAGATTTTTTTAGTCCTAATAAGAATAAGTCAATCAGTATCTGATTTAATGAAAAAAGTCTTTAATTTATATTGGCACGCTCCAATTTAGAGTTGGGTCATAGAATAAACAATTTGGACAATGGTCTTTTGTCGGTGTACTATTTATAATACTACACAATGGTCAAATTTTTATCCCAAATGGTTACTCATGGACTATGAAATCATAAAAATTGAGCAACGATCTCATTAGTGTAGTGTGTCTGCTCAGTTTAACATAAAGTTATAAATATAACAAGTTCTCCAAAAAGCAGGCTGTACTTTTTTCCACCACGAATTGATACAATGAAAATCAGCGCTATAGATCCTTTGAGTGGGATAACTTGAGAGCTCTTCGGCTCCATGCCGTGAGACACAGTTAACTTCTCGTGTCAAATACAGCTAATGAAACCTTCTTGAAAGTCAATGTTTAGTTTTTCTCTTCACTTTTTCATCGAAGTACGACTATGAACAAGACCCAATTGTTTTCATGTAACGGCTGTCTTTTAATCGGTATCGAAATGCCATGATAAAAAAGATAATAATAAAAACCCATAACTTTGGATAAAATCAAAGGTCAAATGTAAAAATACTACAAGCCTAGACTTTAATTAGCTAAACCGTAAAGGACCCGGCCTTCCAGTGCAAGGAAAAGTTGGTTTACAAAAAGAGCTACTTTTTTCAAAGCTCGTAATTTTCTAGTCAATACGTTAATCCTTTTCCGAAGTTCTAGCTATCAGGGGAACTTTTCTTCATCATTCAAATTAAATTAAAAAAAAACTGATTCCGTGTTGTACTATCAAAAGCCTAACTATCATAGAAACGTTCAATCGAATGTTCGGTCTCTTTATCTTTTGATTCCTTTCCCAAAGTATAAGTTTCCCATAAGTACAAGTAAAAAGACTGAATACTGTTACCAGGGGCTAGGGCTGGGGAACCGGCCCCTTTCAGCTGCTATTTTCGGGTTTTTGTATGGGTTTTTGGGCCTAAAATTAGAAATTTTGTTTGAAGGTCACTACGAGTCACAAGGGTATCAATTTTCCTTGCTTGGAATAAGAGTCGTATGGTGTTTTATATATCAAGTTCTATGAAAATCCCATTTGAAAAGTCCATTATCTTTTTTCTTGAGTAGGGGTTATTAACGCTAGAATGAGTCGCTTGAGATGTATCAATTAAGGTGGTTCTTTTTTCGAGTTGGTTTTTAGTGTCGCTTATCGTTATAATTTGTTATAGACTCTCTTCTTTGCGTAAAATTGTTATTCTTTTCTGTGAAAGGGGTGTTTTTCTCAAGTGCTAACTATTTCCGGTCCAATTGATGGTTATGGCTCAAATTTTTGGTCTCATTTTTATTGCAAATTACTAAGTTCTAATAGGGCAATTTGGACGTCTGGGAACTGCTATCACTTGGGCTATGAAAGTCAGAGGGGTTTGGATTTTTGTTTTCCCAAGTCAAATCATTCCTAGTATCCCTTGTATGAGTTTCAAATAATTAGCTTTGTTAGTTCTCATTTGGGAAATGGGGTGTTCAAAATTACCTCATGAGGGTGTTCAGCTATGAGATGAACCAATTCTTCGAACACTCGAACGTCTTTGAGTTCGAATGTTTGTTGTTTTCCTGCTTCTCTTGTTGATTAGTCAATTTTTTAGCACGTTCTACTCATTAACTCAACTATCGCGCCTCTTCATTTTCATTTGCTAATTTGGACTATGAAGCCTGCAACAAATTTCTCGAAATTCTTGCATACCACCATGGCAACCCATGAGGCCGAGAGGTAATTCCATAATTCAAATGAGGTGCAGCCTGAGAGCTTCTAAGTTCTCATTTAGGTAGCAAAATTTATACCAAGATCAGAAGCGTGTCTTACTTGATCGGAATATTCAATTAACATTGGAGAGGTTCATAAGGTTATGTTAAACCATCGGATCAAAAACCCGTACCAGGTATCACAAAGAGTACCAGCATCAACAATGTCGGGTCCTCAGCATTGAATGTGTAGACTGTGTCAACCATCGCAGGCGATAGTAAAGGATGAGGCGATGAGTCATTTATCGGCGAAAACAAGAGATGAGATTTGTCAAAGGATGGAGTTGATGATAGGAAATAATCCTGTTGTCACTAAGAAATCTGCCGAAATTTACCCAATCCGATGATTTCAGAAAGCGTTTGTCCCGGTCACAATTACTGGCTGGACTGCATCTACCTACTTCTCACCATTACTAATGATAGGTCCAATGATAGGTCCACGAATTTCTCACGGAAAAACAACAGAAGCAATTTGCCCAGTACCAGTAGCTTTTTTACCCAGTGATCGATGCCTATCAGAATATCGTCGAACGCGAAATCCTCGAATCCGATCTCCATGTTTTGGTCAAAACGCTGTTTGTCCGTATCTACAAATATGCCTAGAGAAGGGCCAAGAGGCAAAGTGGGTTTTTATCGCTCGGCATACGAGTGATCTGACCTGGTCGGAAGCGTTTTTTTTGTTTTCAGTTAAACTTCAGTCGAAGGAAGAGGAATATTTTTTATTACGTGCCTACGTGTGCTGCTTACTTGGGGTCAGTCTAGAAATATCCATTGTACTTTTGCATTCAAGCCAATCATGGATCTGGGGTTTTCTTGAGGGGTCAAAAGTGTCGAGAAATTTGGCGAATTTCATTTAACTATTAGTGGGATATTCAAAAGTTATTTTTGTCACTGTGAAAAGTTTTTGTAGTGATATAACTTTCTGTTCAAGTAAACTATTGAAAAAGCTTCTCAATGGATTTCTAGAGCACTATTTGGAAAATTTTGACAGAAGAATCGCGTTTTTTTTCGAGGCACGCTTCAAGAGCATTTCAGCAATTTTTAGAATTTTTTCTAGTGCGTTAAAAATCAAAAGAAGAATTTAAAGTTCAATAATTAACAGGTTTATAACTGTTTCTTGTTTGATGGTAATTGATTCAATTTTTTATCATTAAGTGTAATACAAGATAAAAAGTATCATATCAAATTGCATCAAGAAAGGAACAGTTTCAAAGCTGTTTATTTTTTTAACCTAGTTTTTTTTGGTATTTTTGCAGAAAGAAATTGGAAAGTTATATTTTAGGAGAAATTCAAAAATTTGATACGCTGAAAGTAATAAGCGATACGTATTAATTTCAAGTAGCGCCCATATTAAGTTATACGTATTTAATAAGCTCATTCAAAATTATTATTTTTAGAAAACGGAGTTGAGGGCGAGAAAGCAAAACAGTTAGGGAAGGACATTAGAAAACGGTTCAAAGCGACAAAAGACGAAATAGCCGAAAACAAAAAGAAAATGAGCAGAAAAAACAAAAGGAGGCTCAAGAATGAGTCATCGCCTGCCGCTTCTGTTCACAATGAGTCATCAGCCAATAACTCAGAAGAAGAAAGGTCATCAAACACACATACGGAATAGTGAAGGGCGTTCTGCTCATCATAGTGGATTAAGTGTCTTTGTAGTTTTATATTGTAAATTGTAAAAGTTATATATTCATAAAAACCAAAGTTTTGTAAATAATAGTATTGGGGTCCCTGAAAAGCCTGATGTTTTTGAATAAAAATTCAAAAGTTCAACAGGAAATAAAAATTGCTGAGCAGTTGCGACCCGTCATTTCTTCTGAAAAAAAAGCTTCCTGAAAGCCAAACATTTTCGAATCATTTCAAGTGTTTTTAAGAGTTAAGGGGTTGTTACAAGTTAAAATTTACTGAGGTATATACGAAAAGCTCTGCTAAGTGTTTTATAGCTTCTTGAATCTGTCTCTCATTGTGAATCAAGCTCCCCCTTCTCGCATATCTAACGGAAAAGGTTTCAAGCGGCTTTTCAGATTTTTTTGAAACTTTCCGATTGCATTTTGAAATACGATTAAAAAACTTTAATGCAAAAATCCACGGCGTACTTACTGACCTGTTTTGCTTACTGACCTGGATTTGCTTGCCGAAAAAACACACACCGGAAACGAAAGCACTTTTTTATATTCAAAGTTTGGTACCAAAAGTTGCTGAGTTTTGCTTTAAAATTGTTGAACAAGGACCAGGTTTGGAAAAAAAACTTTTTTCATCAAAAAAAATCAATTAAACAGAGTTTTTAATAAAAATCATGTTTTATTGTTTTTTTTTCACAGTTTGTTCAGCTCAAAATTTCTGCATTCATATCGATCATCTAATAGATATGCGGCAAGAAAAACGGGAGTCGGAATATCATCTCTTTTTTGCTACAAACCGTTATGATGATCCGGTGCAGCATTGTAGGGATCGAGACGGCTCAATAAGGGAAGACGGCTCATACCCCTATCGCAGCGGTTTGACTCCCGAACAATGCTAGTTTTTTACGCTGAAAGTTTAAAAAAAACTACTGTTTTTTATTTTCTGTTTTAAAACATTCCCAACCCTGACAAGGACAATAAATTCTTTCACATCACAAATCTTGGCCATTTAATTTATGTAGTAGAATTACAAAAAACTTCGAACACTGGTTTTCATAAACAAATAAAACATCGAGTTTTATTGATACAAAAAGGGCGCTATCAAAGCGTACAATAATACTTCAATCGCATACTACCTGCAGAACAATTAGCTATGGAAGGAATTTTAGTATACATAAACAATAACATGTAGTTTTTTTTGTCGATTTGATAGTTTTTGAGAACATTTGGAGTGTGAGCGGCGGCATTTGTTTGAATTTACTTATTGAGCAATTTTTGGGATATTTTTTACAGATTAAGCGGCTAAACAGTGATTTGTTTTCCTGGTTCTATTTTTGACCGTAAGCATGCAGTGCTAAAAATATGTTTTCAACAGTATTAGAACAAAATTTTTAAAAATGTTTTAATTTGAAGTTCTATTATAAGCCTCATGATGAATAGGCTTATTAGAAGTTTATATAAGCTGATTTGCCGCTCTTGAAGTATATTAAAAGTTCTGGTTTTGTCATCATAATAACAAAGGGTCTAGTTCCGACAACTTCTTCTTGTGGAAAAAACTAAAAACTATTGGTGGAACTCTATTTACAGCAATAGAAAAATGTGTATATGAAACGTTGCTTTCCCATGGAACTTCTGGAAATTTTCATTTACTTCGTTCGCATTTCAACAAATAGCGCCATAAAATTTTTCATAGCAATTTTTAGTACCTTATCGAGAATCTATTTGATTTGCTATTTGAGTTTTTTTATTTATCCCTTTTTTGTCATATTAATATCAAAATTAAATAGCTGATTTCAAAAATCGCGACCTTATTGTTCCGACTTTCGATACAAAAGTAACGGAACATTGTTGCTCGGGTGGGTTTTTTTTCTTCAGACAAGTTTCGACTTTTTAAGGATTTTTTTTATCATACGAAAGGTATTGTTGTTTTGAGCTTAAAATTGATAAGATATTTAATCTGTGATTATTTGTCGAAAAAATATAGGGGTTTAAAGATTGTCGATTTGGCCAATTTGAGACAATTAACGCGCAACATATTTCGCGCTATTAACGCATAAGCGGAGTTTTATACCGTCTTAGAAATCGCTCCAAATTAGTTGAAGGAAGCTTATTTACCATAATTGATTTTTTTAAGGAGCGAAATCTATCATTTTGTAATTTATATGGTCTGTGGGTTGATGATTTTCATAAACATTTCAAATTTTACAAAAGAAATTTTCATTTTTTTTTATTACATTTAATTTTTTTTATTGTTATTACTGCTCCATAAAACTTAAAAGGCAGCCGAAACATTCGGGGCTTCGCACTGATACGAGCAGTCTTCTTGTTTTTCAAACCTACTGTTTTTTTGGATCTACTTATCAATTGCCCATTTTTTATTATCTACTAAATAACTGCTACCCTAAGTAAGTGCTAAGAAAAGTAGTAAATTAGCACTATAGTCTAAGCCTTAAAGTTCGAGTTATTCTGTATTCTGATTGGTCGAGAATTCGCCAGGTGCGTCTAGCTTACAATTTCCCCCTTTACTGAAAGCGGCATTTTTAAATAGATCCTTCATTTTTGTGTTCCTTTTTTTAAACTTAATCTCCATTTTTTATATTGCTTTTTTAGTTAAATAAATAAAAAAAAAATTGGTTCATTTTTTCATCCGCACTGCTCAAGAAGATGAAGTTGGTTGTACTGATACGTGTTTTATCTTTCAATTCAAAATAAACCAGCAAAAACTCGTTGAGAATTCATTGGTTTGTGCTATCAATAGTTTTTCGTGAGTGAAATAAGTTTTTTTGTTGAGACGCGTTGCTCTGATTGTTTAAACATTGAAAAATAAACATTGGAAAATAATTTAATTTTATAGTAGAAGTTAATGGAAAATGATTGACTACTGGAAAATTATTGTATTCATTTGCTCTTTAACTCTCCCATGTTTTGACAAGCTAACATTTTCCAAACATTACTATGGAAAAGTTTTTTGAAAGCGTAATATTTTGTAAGATATGAGTAAATCAACAATCGAAAAAATTCCGTCAAACTCAGCTCTGATTTAAATTGTTTTAGAACTGTTTAGAATTGAAAAAAAAAAGAATTTTTTTTGGAAATTGCGAAGTTATTCATACATGAAAAGCGCATCATCGGTTTTGTCTAATAAAGCTCAATTTTTTCAGTAGCAAACGTTAATGTTTCCAATGGGATTGCGGTTCTTTGCACATTGAAATTCTGTTTTAGTATAGCTGATCGTTGGTCGACCCTTTCATTGGATTATAAACGATTTGGTGTAGGTCAAACTATTTCTTCCGACTGTTCATCAAAAAAATCAGAATTTAAAACCAAAAAAGCCTGCAAAATATTATCTAGCTGCAACAGTAAGGTTTCTTCATTCAACAAAAATTGATCTCTTTCACTCTAACAATCTTTTTTCTTCTTAATCAATCATTTTTAGTTTTTAGGTCGTACAAAGCTTGTCAGACGCTATCAAGCTGTCCCTGATTTTATCTCAAATACCAGTATTTTTGCCAATAAACTTAAATCTCTTTTTGTTGCTTCCAAAAAGGAAGATAAAGTTCTATAGCGCTGACTTTTTGTTCATAGTGGTTAATGATCTAGAAACATATCTGAGGAATTTTTTCTGAATTTTTCTTTTTTTTGTAAGCGTTTTGTTTTAATATTTTTTGATTGCTGCAAAAATTTCCAAGCCAGCTGTCAAATTGAGATGGAAAAGCAAGAAAAAACAAAAGAATAAAATAGGAAAATTATGCATCTAATTTTCTGAAACTTTCCTGAAACCCTTTGCGTTTGAGACGTTTCAAGTTAACATTTTAAACATTTTGGCGCAAGGAAAGTTTTGCGTCAAACTAATCAGTCCTTAATTCTAATTTCTTATGGCAAAAAACTAAATTGGCAAAATCGTGCATTTAATTTTCTTATACTTTCATTTGCCTGCTAGCTTCAGTAACTGAAAATGTCAGACCAGTTCTTGCATTTGAAGATTTTGTTGCGTATTTTGTAAAAGCAAATTTAGCATGCACCGTAGCAAGACATATTGTTAGACATTATTGCTATATCTCAAGCTTACTTCGATATAGCAATAACGAAATTCCAAATTAAGAGTGCGGAGGGTTTGCATGTTGAAGGTTCCAACAGTTTTGGTCAACTTATTGAAATTCCATCTCCAACAAATTTGTTTAAATCTAAATGATGGGAGTATTTTCATAAAAATTACTAATTGTTCATAAAACTAATCAAAACAAAAATCTTTACAAACCAAGCGAGCAAAAATATTTTCAAAATATTAAATTTCAATCGAGATTTGATATTTTATTACACTCTGAGAAAAAAACTAGTTTTCCTAAATAGGGAAGGTCTGCACTAGTCGTATGCTTCAAAATTGTTGAAGTGGAGTTCAAAACCGTTTTGCGTCTTCAAGTAGATTAAGAGGACTGGAAACCAGTTGCATTTGCGGCGTTTCAACTTATACTTTTAAAAAATAGCTCAATGAACCCCTTACGTCAAACTAATCAGTTCTTTAATCTAAGTACTTCGGAGTTGTTTGATGTTTCTTTTTTTGTCAGATTGGTCGTCCCTTTTGGTAGGGTTCCTATCACAGATCTCTTAATTTCACGTTATAGAAATTGGCACAGGTTTAATTTGCAGTAGGTTCTCAATTTAGCTAAGTTAAGAAGGTAAAAAATGTCAATATTATGTATTAGATAAAAACTACGTATTAGAAGATCAAAACGGGAATACAATGTATTTTTTACACCCTCTTGGTTTTTAGTCACATTCATGGAGAAAATAACTGCTACGTGTCAGACAAAAAACTGATAAGAACATTCGCATTAATTAAATGATAGACGACTATTTAAATGAATATCTATAAAAGCATCCAGATGGCTTTAAATCCGAGGACATCTAGCTTGCGATTTTGAAAGAATTTAAAACTTAATGACCTGGAATTTGGTTACCACTGGCAATGTTTTGATCACATGCGCATTTCTCATCTGAGTTCACTAGCGTTCAAAGCTGCTTGGATTTCGCTTTCGTCTACAAGCAGTTCTGTGTTCCAAATGAGCACCCCGAAATACAAAGAAACGGCGCTCAGCTGCAGAACGTAAATTAAAAATAAAATTCGGTCAAAACCCGCGGCTATAAGTCGCCATCTTTTCAGAGCTATTTCCGCCGAGTCGTCTTTTGCGATAATTTCCAATTTGCTCACTATTTTTTGCAAACTGTCATCGACAACTGGTGAACAACTCGTGATGACTTTCTGTTCTACAGCATTTTTTCTCGGCACCTTTTTGGCTGGGAGTTCATGGGAGCTTTCAGTAATTTTTTCAGTGTTTCTTGTCATTTGAGGGCTCAGACTTTGGTTAACTTCAAAATCCGATTGCACTTTAGACGGCAAACTACTGTTGCCGTGAACTTGAACATATTTCACGTCATTGTTGTTTTCGGCGTGATTACCGAGTAGTTTTGGAGTGAGCAAAACTTGACCTCGTTGGTTATCGACTTTGCTTGTCGTCATTGTTCGTTTTGTATACATTTTATGTTCACTTTTTGAGTCTCGATACGGGTCGTTATATACTATGTAGTCGTTTATTGTTAAGTTTCCATTTACAGTCCTATTTTCGTGTTTATTTGACAAAATCGGACCTTTCGACGAAAAGTCAAAAGTTCGATTTTCACCTCCAAAACATGGGTTACATTTCAAGCTCACAAAAAATGAGAACTTTCCCAGTTTTTCAAGCTGATGTAAAAACTTATACACCAAGGTCGACTCTTGTGGCATCGTAGGCAAAAGCCGAAAGTGTAACATGAGGGTAGACGCTGTAAAAAAGATCGAAGTGCCCAGCATTACGCTTATCAGTGTGTAGAACTTGGCGATTAAGGGATAAGAATCGGCCGACGGCGGGAGAAATTCGGAGACGACGACTTGATTGACGTACAAAGCGAGGAACAGAGTCGTCGCAAAACTTAACTTCTCGCCACATTCGTTCGGAAGCAGAAAAATAACCGAGCCAAGCCAAGCGAGCAATAAAGATGGTACTATCAGACTATGCACGTAGAAGTAGGGTTTCCTTTTCAGAACTAAACTGTAAATAATGTCTTTGTAATAAAGAGTCTCGTTTGGGTAGAGCGGATGATTCGTTAAGGGTGGCTTTGTGACTGCTTTTGAATCTACATAAACAATTTCCCATTCAATATTTCCTACATAACCTTCCAGGCCAGTTTCAAACTGTGAAAGATCAACGTTTAGCATCTTGTTGTGGTAGGTCCAGGATCCCATTTGAATACGACATACTTGAAAGTCAAAAGGGAAATAAACGACATCCGCTTTGCATTTAGTTTTGATGATCGAAGGTATACTCCAGTAACGGAACCCGTCAAATCCAATGATGATCGGCAAGTTAGTGTCTTCTTCGTAGATTTCGAAGGTAGTGATGGAGTTTCCTAGCATCATGTCGGGAACCCAGAGGTCTCTTGGAGGCAGTCGGATCTCCCGGATCCCGTAAACTTCGGGATCCCAGGTGGTGTGGACATCCCACCAAATGAGTCGGATCCAGGCCATAACGTGCAGCACCTTTATACAACCAAACTATTTTAGTTCTAGAAACAAAATATTGCTGCAACTTGATCTACATTTTAAATATCTATAAATGTAAAGTTTATGTCGTAATTGTTTTTGACCGTTATCCTGACTTTTGAAAATTGGCAGAAAAATTAAGTTTAGCAGAAAATGCAGGATTGGATACTTTCAAGAGGGCTTACAGAAGGCTTACATAATTGAAATTTTCCAGACCAAATAAACGGTATTTTTTTGGTAAACAATTATGCTAAAGCCATTAAATGTACATGCTGACTAACAAAATAAAATGGAGAACAAACTTATATTTCAGTTCTGCTTTTTCTCATACCTCTTCTTTGACACTCATGTCCATGAGTTCCTTGATGACGATGGAACAGCTCAACTTCAAGACCGACCCTCCAGGACCCCGAGGGGGGTGCAATTTGGATTTGTTCTCGAACAAGTTTTGCTCCAAGTAGCACTCGGGACAGCGGGACACCAGCTCGAGATCGGACGGGCTATTGATGTTTTCAGCTAAAAAATGCTTTTTTTATTATTGAGAAATTTTTAATAGCGTAGATGTGCCGTTTGCTTGAAACAAGCAGTCTTTCGTTTTATTTTTGGACGATGGAAAAATTTGGAACTGGTACGCCACTCTTTAGAGAGAGTACCATAGAACCTGCTGATAACCTAATTTGTAAGTTTTTTAGCCTTCAAATAAGTTTTTCGTTCATCTAATTTTTGAGTCAGGATAGCGTGGCAAGATAATCGGGGCGACTAACTCACCCCTCAATTCTGGTTGTCAAAATTTTCCAAAGAGGAGTTTTCCTCTTTGGCCTTATTTTACGACAAAATTCTGCATGAGAAACTTTAAATAACTCTGTAGGCGCCAAAGTACTAAATTTGAATGCGAGTGTAGAAAGAAAATGGTTCTCTGGTTTTTTCTTTGCGGACTTGCTTACATTAAAAGGAATGTATGCTTGCATTGCCAAATATGGGATTCATCAATATATATTAGCAAATTATAACCAAAGTTCCACTTGGTACATTTTGAGGGGTGTTGACCTGTTAAGAGGCCGATACATTGAAAGGATAAAAAAGTTTACTCAAGCCGACGTTTTAAAATCTTTTGAAGTGCGAATGCTTCGATTCTATGTTCTTACTTTTTCGCAGCGCAAACTTTTTTCAATGGATTTTTTTTTATCTTACCCATAAATTGGCGGGGTTTGCAATCCAGCACGAAGTTTAATAGCTTCATGAACAGCTATTAATACTTTCTCAATAACGATTAGACGATTCGTTCGCTTTTCATAAAGACAATTCCTGTTTTTTAAAAGAAACTTTGAAATATTATTTAATTAGTCCATGTGATTGAAAAAAGTTTTCAAATCTAAGTTCACGAAAAACTCTGTAATTAAACTTTTTTCTACAACGCATCAATTTTTATGTCAAACGACAGGTAGATTCGTTTTATTTTATATCGGCTCAGTAAACTTCTTTTTTCTGTCTTTTTAAAGAAATTTCCAAGACGAAACTTTTTTGTATAGAAAAAAAAGAATTGTTTGAATACCTTTTCAGGTCAATGGAGGTCAACTCGGGATATTACCATGCATAAAATCTAACAACCTATTCTACCCGGGTTGACAAAAACGCTGGTCATTACAGTTCCCGCTTCTGAATCAGCAGGTCCAAAAAATTGTCTGATAACTCCATCCACGCAGTTCGAGTTCGTTTTTTAAATAGTATTTAGAGATTCACCATGTTTTTTAAAATTTAATTTCATACATACCTACATTAATAATTTGTAACATTTGTTGTCTAATTAAAAATCTTCTTCAAAAATTTCAGTTTTTTCAAAATGCTTCATGTTTTTTCAGCAAATCTTAAAACTTATTTCACTATATAAAAACAAAACTCAAAAAATTCTGGCTGCTATTTGGGCAAAAAACTTGTGCCTTGACTACATTATCGACAAAAATCCAAACTTGCAATGCAAACTTCATTTGTTTGTGCCTAGAAAATTTTTTGCGACTAAAAAAACTAATAGTTCTTTTTACCATTTTTGGGTTTTTTGAAAAAAAAACTGCTAGTCACACAAGCTTCATAGTATGAAATTGTTTGGCTTGTTTTTTCATTCTTGTTCCGACTTTCGTAACGAAAGTAACGGAATATTTGTGCTCGGAGTGAGTTTTTTTTCTTCAGACAAATTTCGACTTTTTAACTAGCCATTTTGACAAAAATTTTTCATATCATTCAAAAGGTCTTGTTGTCCTGAGCTTAAATTTGAGAAATATTCCACCTGTGATGATTTTTTTTGTAAAGTTATGAGGATTAAATTATTACCATTTTGGCCAATTTGGGACAATTAACGCGCGAGTTTGAATCCGTCTTAGAAAGCTTATTTGCTATAATTAAATTGTTACTAGGAGCGAAATCTATCTCTTTTTACTTTAAATGGCGTGTGCGGGATGAATTTTACAAAAAACCTCAAATTAAAAAATATTCATTTTCATTTATTGAATTTATTTTTTTCATGTTTTTACTGCTCCATAGACCTTCAGAGGCAGTCGGAACATTCAGGACCTCGCCCTGATTCGAGCAGTCTTGTATTTGTTTGTGAAATCTTGTGACTAGCTTTTTCCTCGTAAAAGTCATTCCAGCTACTTCTGCAAAAGTAATAAACTTATAACTTTCGAATTTCTTTTTGTAACAATTTCATTGAACTTGAGCTAGATTTTTTCGGAAAAGGTTTTTGCAAAATAGGAAAAATTTTCTTAAATTAAAGTCTCAACAGCACTATCACTTAATCTGATTAATATCTTTGTCTGAAGACTTTTCAATTTGCAATGAAGAATGATCTTTGCATTCAGTTGCATGACAAACCTTTATGGTCTATCCAGGTGAAGTTGGGTTATACGCAAATTTAACTATTCTAAAATGTAAAAAATTGTGATGTAACTTAGAATGAAACTATTGAAGACAAGTATTCTAAAACTACACCCCAATGTTACTTAGTATCTTGCAATATACTTTTATTATTTTTTTGAAATTCTTAGTTTACTTATGGTGTTAATTTTAATCTTTTTTAAAAAATTCATGTGAAAAACACTGAATATAACAACGAACGCGCGCTCCCTCCTCAAAATTAGTATATATTGGCACCAAAAGCGCCTTTAAATAATTTTAGGATCCATCAGCCAAAAATGGATATCTCGAAATAGTACAAAGGGGGACCTGTTGGGTCGGCAGGCGGTCAAATCCCTCAAGAGAGAGCGTCCGCCCCCATCGCCCCCCCCTAAATCTAATGGTGACCAACCTGTCAGGGGCGGATTTAGGGGGGGGGGGGAGGTGGACGCTTTTCTCGACCCCCTGCCGATCCAAAGGGTCCCCCTATGGTACTTTCTAAAAAATCCATTTTTGGCCGACCGACACTAAAATTTTTCTAAAGAAGCCTATATATACTAATTTTAAGGGGGAGCGCACCAAAAAAACGCAATTTTTTTTGGTCAAATTTTTTTCAAAAAAGGCTCAAAAACAATTTTTTTGACCTGCTTTTTAAATTTGGCTGCCGCGCAAAAAATTCGGCCAAAACAGCGTCTTGTAAGTGCTTTAGGAGAGCTCAGAAATTAATTTGGTCGACCTAAAAATAAAAAAAGGTCGTCAAAATTTTCGAAATCTTTTTGAAAATCCGCCCCCCCCGAGAAAATCCAAGATCTGCCCCTGCATCCTGTTCCCAATATTTTTGGAATTGCTGCTATTAGAATTTGTTACTTTTTTAGACCTTGTTTGGGAATAGGTCGCATTTTTGTTGCTATGTTCAGTTTTCATCTATTTCTTTAATCTTGCCCGATATGGTCATGTTTTTATCCCAAATGGTTACTTATGGACTATAAAATCATGAAAAATTAGCAATGTTCTCTACTAGTGCAGTGTGTCTTCTCGGTTTATCATTAAGTTATTATTGTAACAAGTTCTGCAAAAAGCAGGCTGTACTTTTTTCCACCACGTGCTGATACAATGAAAATCAGCGCTATAGATACTCGTTGAAATCAAAGTTATCGCATTTTTTCAGCGAAACTTGAATGGGATAACTTGAGAGCTCTTCAGCTCCATGCGGTGAACCACAGTTAACTTCTCGTGTAAAATACAGCTACTGGAACCCCCTTGAAAGTCAATGTTTAATTTTGCTCTTCACTTTTTTCAACGACGTAAGACTATGAACAAGACCCGATTGTTTTCATGTTACGGCTGCCTCGTAGTCGGTATCGAAATGCTATGATAAAGAAGATAATAATAAAAACCCATAAAATTTGAAAAATATCATAGATCAAATGCAAAAATTCGAATCGTACGCAATCAACATAACCAATTAGCTTGCATCAATTGAACTTGGAACAAGTACGTAATTGTTCCGATTTTCGAAAAAAAAAATGGAATATTTATGCTCGGTGTGGTTTTTTATTCAATCAATTTTCGCCGATCGAATTAATAGTTTTAAACAAATTTTGTTTATACTCTTATGAAGAAATAGACTTCCTGAGTTCAAATTCAAAAATTTTTTACATCAATTTTTTTTTCGTAAAGTTCTGGGGGTTTGAAAATTGCCACATGGCCATGATCTGGGCTAATTTATGCGCGCTTTGAAGAATTTATTCATAACGCTGGAAGCGTAACGCGAATTATTAATGCGTGGCGAACTATCCCGCTCAACCCTCAACAAAATCGTTCCGAATTGAATTGCGGCTAGATACTTGGTCGTATTTATTTCTTACGACTCAAAACTTTACACTTTGATTTTGTCCAAAATTCATCGGTTTTCAATATTTTCTTTTCCCGAAAACTATTAGATATGAATTAGGGGACATTCGGAATATTGAGGGCTCTCAGCAATGGGTGTCTCGCATTCTAATATTCAGACCAAATAATTTGCCTCAATTCATTTTGGAACGATTTATTCCGCCGTTTACGCGTTTTATAGTTGTTAAAAGAACCTAAAATATCGCACTTTTATTGTCCCAAATTGGCTAAATTAGCAATTGTCGAATCAACGTAACATTTTTAAAAAACTAAGAACGTTTTTTTTTAGTTCCGACTTGTGTAAAAAAATTAACGGAATATTTCTGCTCGGATTGGTTTTTATTCCTTCTGATAAACTTAGACTTTTTAACTAGCCTTTTTTGACGAAACATTCTAAATCATTCCAAAGGTTTCATTGTCCTGAGCTAAAGTTTAAAAATTTTTTTCACCTGTGATCGTTTTTTGTGAAGCTATGGGGGTTTAAAGATTGCGATTTTGGCCAATTTGAGACAATTAACACACGATATAATACGCGCTATTAACGCGTAAGTGGAGACTTAATCCGTCTTAGAAATCGCTTCAACTTGGTCGAAGGAAGCTTATTTGCCATAAGTGGTTTGTTACTAAGAGCGAAATTTATCACTTCCTTTTTTTAAATGGCGTGTTCGGGACAGATTTAGGGTGAGGGGGGGGGGGGGGGGGGTGGACGCCTTCTTTTCAGGGGATCGACCCCCTGC